TTGATTACTGTAGCTTTGTAGTATGTTTTGAAGTAAGGGATTGTGATGCCTCCAGTTTTGTTATTTTTTCTCAGGATTGCTTTAGCAATTCGGGGTCTTTTGTTGCCCTATATGAATTTTAGGATTCTTTGTTTTCTTTCTGTAAAGAGTATCATTGGGATTCTGATTGGGATTGCGTTGAATCTGTAGATTGTTTTAGGTAGTATGGATATTTTAACTATGTTTATTCTTCCAATCCATGTGCATGGAATGTCTTTCCATCTCTTTGTGTCATCATCGATTTCTTTCAGGAAAGTCTTATAGTTTTCATTGTATAGATCTTTCATTTCCTTGGTTAGATTTATTCCAAGATATTTTATTCTTTTTGTTGCAATTGTGAATGGGATTGTGTTCTTGAGTTCTCTTTCTGTTAGTTCGTTATTAGAATATAGAAATGCTACTGATTTATGTAAGTTGATTTTATACTCTGCAACTTTGCTGCAGTTGTTGATTGTTTCTGATAGTTTTCCAATGGATTCCTTGGGGTTTTCTATATATAAAATCACGTCATCTGCAAATAGCAAGAGTTTCACTTCTTCATTGCCTATTTGGATTCATTTCATTTCTTTTTCCTGCCTCATAGTTCTGGCCAAAACCTCCAGTACTATGTTGAATAGGAGTGGTGAGAGTGGGCATCCTTGTCTTGTTCCTGTTCTCAGAGGGATGGCTTTCAGTTTTTGTCCATTGAGTATGATGTTGGCTGTGGGTTTGTCATATATGGCCTTTATTATGTTGAGGTTCTTTCCTTCAATACCCAGTTTATTTATGGTAAATGGATGTTGGATCTTGTCAAATGCTTTCTCTGCGTCTATTGAGATGATCATGTGGTTTTGTTTCTCATTTTGTTAATGTGTTATACCACTTCATTTTTTTATGTCAGAGCCATGCAACAGGACACCTTTATGTCTCCCCTCTCATTCTCTGTGCTATTCTTGTCATATATTTTATTTCTACATATGTTCTAAACCTGATGTTATGTATTACATTGTTATAATTTTTTAAATAGTCAATTATTATTTAAGGAACTTTAAAAATTATATAGATATAAATACATATTTAAAACTTTTACTCATATATTTACAATTTCTAGTGTTCTTATTCCTTGTGTAGATGTAGCTTTATAGTTTTCACTACATTTAGAAAATTTCCAGACATTATTTCTTCAAATATGTATCTTTACCTCAGGAAGTAAATAGTTATGTTTAAGACAGCCCTGACCACATGTCCACCACTCTAATCAGACTACTTTTAGAGTTAGTAATGATTCTTCCAATATATAGCATACCTTGCACATAGTTACTTCTCGGTAAAGATTTGTAAAGCCACATATAAGAAATTTCTTCAATATTTTAAAAAATGTATTTGTTCAAAAATGGAATACACCAGGTGATGGCCCAGTGGCATAGTGGTTAAGTTTGTGTGCTCTGCTTTGGCAGTCCAGGGTTCGCTGGTTCGGATCCCGGGCGCAGACCTACACACTGCTCATCAAGCCATGCTGTGGCGGCATCCCACATACAAAATAGAGGAAGATTGGCACAGATGTTAGCTCAGGGACAATCTTCCCCACCAAAAAAAAAAAGAATACATGCTCATGATAAATACAGTCATGTTCCACATCATGACGTTTCACTCGATGGACAGCATGTGCAACAGTGGTCCTATAAGGTCGTAATGGAGCTTAAAAATTCCTGTTGCCTAGTGACATCATAGCCATTGTAATATCGTAGCACAATGCATTACTCATGTTTGTGGTGATGCTGGTGTAAACAAACCTATTGTGCTGCCAGTCATATAAAAGTGTAGCACAGATATTTAATGTACATACATAATACTTGATAATAAATGACTATGTTACTGGTTTATATGTTTACTATTCTGTCCTTTTTATTGTTATTTTAGGGTGTCCTCTTCTACTTATAAAAAAAAAGAGTTGACCGTAAAGCAGTATGCCGTGCTGCTCCGGCAGCAGCCTCATACGTCTCATGTTTACCGTGTCTCTTGATTGCATCATTTTCTCTTTGCTTGATTTAATCTCATGTTGTTTTGTTCATCATCACCCCTAGAGTGTGAAATCCACTGCTAATGTTGCCAGTAGGAGGTCATGTTGAGTGATTACCCAGAAACAAAATTAAAGGTGATTAAGGACTACAAAGGTGAAAAATCAGTGATGGTTATTGCTTGCCAGTCAGGCATGTCCCATTCCAACATAGCTATGATCTTGAAGAACGAGAACAAAGTGACGGAAGCTGTTAAAGTGTCTTCTTCATTGAAGGTAATGAGACAAACAAAAATTTGAGAAGGGCCTCTGCCAGACCTGGAGAAACTTCTAATGACCTGGATGGAAGACCAGACACGGAAGCATTTCCCTCTCAGCACTGTGATGATCACAACCAAAGCAAAAAGTTTGTTTGTGATATTGAATAAAAAGGCTGGGCCCAACTGCAATGTCGAATTTACTGCTAGCTTTAAGTGGTTTAAATGATTCAGGAATCGTCATTCATCACGTAATGCGGAAGTGAGTGGGGAGTCTGCGAGTGCTGATGTGAAGGCAGCTGAAGAATTTTTGGAAACTCTGGATAAGCTGATTGTGGAAGAAAATTACTTGTCAGAGCAAATATTGAATAGAGACGAAAGCTCCCTATTCTGGAAATGGATGCCTGAAAGGACTTCATCCATAAGGAAGCCATGTCAATGCCAGGTTTCAAGGCTTTAAAGGACAGGATAATAGTCTTTCTTGGGGCCAATGATGCAAGCTACAAATTGAAACCCTTTGTGATCTGGCACAGTGAGAACCCCAGGGCCTTCAAGCATATCAATAAGCAATCACTGCCAGTGTACTACAGGAGCAATAAGAAGTCATGGATGACCCAGCTCCTCTTCTAAGATGCTCTCCTGAATTGCTTTGCTGGCAAAATGGAGAAGTGCTGTTTGGAGAAGAACATACCTTTCAAGATTTTACTTATTGTTGATAGTGCTCCCAGACATCCTCATTCCGTAGGTGATCTTCATTCCAATATCAAATCAGTGTTTCTCTCTCCAAACTCTATGTCTTGGATCCAACCAATAGATCAAGGAGTTATAGCAGCTTTTGAGGCCTACTACCTGAGGAAGGACCTTTGCCCAGGCTATTGCTGCAACTGAGGAAGGCACTGATGCAATTCTGGAAAGATTACAACATCTGTGACTGCATCAAGAACCTTACCTGGGCTTGGGGTGTATCACAAAGTTTGTATGAATGGCATCTGGAATAAGACACTTGAGGTTCATCCATGATGTCAAAGGATTCGCCAAGGATGAGGACGTTGCAAAATCAACAAGGCTGTGGTTCAGACGGAAGACAACTTTAACCTGGATGTAGATGAAGACAACACTGAGGAGCTCCTAGAGGTGGATCCTGAGGAACTGGCTAATGAGGGGTTGTTGGAACTGGAACAGGAACGCAGAGCTGAAGAAGAGGTAAGAGAAAAGGAAACTTCAGGGAAGAAAAAGAAGCCCCAAGAAAATTCACAGTGAAGTGTTTAGCAAAAGCTTTTGCAGACCTCAACAAGCTCCTTAAAAAGTTTGAAAACATGGACCCCAACAGCAAAAGGTTTTCATGAATAGAGAGGAATGTTCATGCTGCATTATCTACTTAGAAGCAAATCTATAATGAAGAAAAGAAGCAAACCAGCATTGACATCTTTCTGAAAAGAGTGACACCTCCTCAAGAAGAGCCTCAGGCCGTCCTTGAGCAGGTATTCCAGAAGAAGGCATTGTTATCAGAGGAGATGACAGCTCCATGTGCGTTATTGCCTCTGAAGACCTTCCAGTGGGACAAGGTGTGGAGATGGAAGACAGTGATATTGATGATCCTGACCCATGTAGTCCTAAGCTAATGTGTGTGTTTGTGTCTTAGTTTTTAACGGAAAAGCTTTAAAAAGTTTTTAAAAAATTTAAAAATAGATGAAAGCTTAGAGAATAATGATATAAAGAAAAAATATTTTTTACAGCTGTATGATGTGTTTGTTTTAATCTGTTATTACAAAAGAGTCAAAAAGTTAAAAAAATTAAAAAACATAAAGTAAAAGAGTTGCAGTAAGCTAACATTAATTATTGAAGAAAGAAAAATATTTTTAAAAGAAATTTAGTGTAACCTACGTGTACAGTGTTTATAAAGCCTACAGTAGTGAGCAGTAACGTCCTGGGCCTTCACATTCACTCTCCACTCACTCGCTGACTCACCAGAGCAACATCCAGTTCTGCAAGCTCCGTTGATGGTAAGTGCCCTGTACGGGGGTATCATTTTTTAATCTTTTATACCTTATTTTTACTGTACCTTTTCTATGCTTAGATACACAAATACTTACCGTTGTGTTAAAATTGCCCACAGTATTCAGTACAGTTTGAGGTGTGTAACCTGGGAGCAATAGGCTAGCCCGTGTAGCCTAGGTGTGTAGGAGGCTGTACCATCTAGGTTTGTGTAAGTACACTCTACAATGTTCCCACAACGACGAAATCGCCTAGTGACACGTTTCTCAGAACCTATCCCCATCATTAAGCAATGCGTGACTGTAATTCAAACAGTACAAAAAAGCATACTGTGAAAAAGAAGTCTTTTTTTGTCACCACACTTAGCAATGCCCTCCATCTCCTAAGGCAACCGTATTTTTCTCCTCCCAGAAATTGTCTGGATGTGTTCAAGGATATATGAGTATATATCTTTTTTTTTATTCCTTTTACCCAAGTGATAGCGTATTTTTTAAAAAATAAGTCTTGGTAATCATTCCATATCAGTATATATAAAGCTGACTTATTCTTTTTTTGTTTTGTTTTGTTTTGTTTTTTTGAGGAAGATTAGCCTGAGCTAACATCTGCTGCCAATCCTCCTCTTTTTGCTGAGGAGGACCAGCCCTGAGCTAACATCCATGCCCATCTTCCTCTATATGTGGGATGCCTACCACAGCATGGCTTGCCAAGTGGTGCCATGTCTGCACCTGGGATCCAAACCGGCCGAAGCAGAATGTGCGCACTTAACCACTGAGCCACCAGGCCAGTGCCTGCCTTATTCTTTTAATGACTACAAACTACAACATATGGATGTATGATAATTTATTTAACTGGTGCTCTGTTTTAGCTCTGGACATTTAGGTTGTCTCCAGTGTTAGGTTATTGCAAACAATGTTGCAGTGAATATTCTACTTGCTTAAAACGAGAGCCTACTTCACAAATAAGTGAGGTACTCCAGCACATGGGGCCATGCTGATGTTCTCTGTGCATTTAAGTTTTTGGTTTATGTGCTACAACACTGTAACGAAACTTCCTATTTCTTTTACAAGGAAAGGAGAAAAAGTGTCAAGAACAGAGAGTACCATGATAAGAAAGCAAAAGTAGTAAACTTGAAAGTTGTTTGAATGTTTGAGTTTCTAGTATTATAGACTTTGTATCAATAAATAAGGTAAAAGTTAGTTTTCTCTTCTGATGAGCAAGTCTTAAGAAAAAATAAGCCAATGAGATATAAACTCCTGCTTCTGATGTAACAACTTTGGGGAAGCACCAATGAGAAACAGGCCTCCATGGAGGAGGCGGAGGGGGGGGCAGGATGCTGGGAGCAGGGGTGGTAGGAGAAGCACCAGGAGATTTAAGCCGGGTCTCCTGGGGACCAGAGCAGTGTGTTCTGAGAGTTCAAAACACTTGAGAGAACTGACTTAACCCCTTGACTTACTCCTTGAATAAGCACCAAACTGAGAGAGCCTGGTAGCTGCCCAGCTGTAGTCTGCAACAAACAAGGGTAGTTCCAACCTGAGTGTCTGTTGATTTTTCCACTTACGTTAATGAATAAGGCAGAAGTGAAATAGCAAAATTGTATGTTGGAACTTTACATGTTTGTCAATGACTTAAGCAACTTCTTTCCTAAATCAGAGAATAGCTTACAAATACTGGAAGGCTATTTCCTCATATTTTTTTGTGCCCACAATATAACAGCTACAGACACACTTTTAAGTTAAGTCTGCGTCATTAACATTTTCTCTATCACTTTAGTCTAGACAGTCAACAAAACAATAAATCAAGGCCTCACTTTTGGCATTTGCTGATTTCCATGGTATACATAACTCTCAAGTAGCTGGTTTCAAGATGGTGACCAGCGTGAAGTTCCTGAACACACAGAGAAGAGATACGCAACAGCAGTACGCTGTTGTATGGTGTTTCTACCACATACAAGCAAATATCCTCAGGGTATAGAGAGGAGTAAAACGTAATTAAGAAGTGATGAGTTTGGGCTGTTTATTAACTTTGTTTTTTATATAATTTAATTGTAAGTTTAGATAATTTTTAATGGTGATTGTGTTTAACAACTGGCTTGTAAAGTGCCTGAAAATTTAACAATCGGATCTCGTGACCTTTTTTGCACTGGCTCCAGCATACCCCTGGGTCACTAATTCTTTCTTGGCCCGCTGTTTCCAAATAAATAAACCTCTCTGCTTTGTTAACCACCTGGTGTTTAAAAAAAAAAAATTCTCATTTTATCCCATGAGATGGGGAAGGGAAGACTGGGGTGAAGTGCTGTCCCCCGTCTGAGCATTGCTGGCCGGGGGACGGCCTGATTTTAGGTGAATAATTCACACTTAGGAAGTTTGTGAGGCTTCACTGTGAAGGGGAGGATTGAAGCCTGAGGGTTTCTCGAGAGCCTTCCCTGCTGTTTGGGCCAGCTCACTGCTGTCTTGGCACAATCTTGGGAGAGTCATTTTACTCGTGTTTGGGGGGAGATTGAGTGACACATGGAACAGGCCACATTACGGCTAGTTTGTAGCAAGCAGGAAAGGGGAAAGAAGAACCCTCCTCACCCCAAATCCTTCCTTTCCTCTTCTTTTTTCCTTTCCTGTTGTCACCCATCACATTCCCTGATGTCATTCCTGCCATTGTGAGCTGACAGGCTCTCCAGCCTGCTGGACAGCCCGTAAGTCAGGAGGGGAGGTGGAGCTGTGGAGGTGCGGGGAGTAGTGGTCACACCAACACCTGGAGGTGGGCTGGGTCTGCGTGGAGCCCCAGAGATGTTCCCAAGCCCCTTCTTCCAAAGAACCAATGAATAAAATTAGGGGCCTCCCACGTGAGGTCAGGGAACCAGGCCCTGGAGTGGAACTTGGAGTGGAAGATGGCCTTCTTTGTCAACTGATTCATTCTCCAGAATTCAACTTGTTCTCCGACTCGATGGTGTTTGAAAGCAACTTTATCCAGGTACCCTTGTGCAGCTCAGGACCAATTTTCTTTCCCTTTCCAAAACCTGTTCCCAGGGCTTGGTCCAAAAATGCTGTGGCCTTTGAAAGCCCTGGGGAGGAGAAAGAAGCCACTATGGCTAGAGAAACCAGAGGGTCTGGGTCCTAAGTTCACCTCTTGGTGCCTATAGCATCCTGGGGCTCCCTGCAGGTCACGTGCTTTAAGGAAATAGAGTTATACCCTGCAAAAGAAGACATCAGAGCTCACTCCCCAGGCAGTATCCACAGGCATCCTCCTGGGGCCACTAGTGCAAACTGGCTGGTTAGAGGGGATGAAGGTGGCTGTCAGAATCCCTGCTCTGAAATCTAACCTCCTCTCTCTGGGATGGTTTAGAAACAGCCTTGTTTGAGAGCAAGGCCCCTGGATAAATGGGCCTTGGCCAGATTCTACCATCCGCCAAAGGGTGGTGACGTGACCAATGGAAGTGAGCATCTGTGGCCTGGGAAGCATGGAGCCTCAAGGATGTGGGGCAGTTATTTTAATATGTATGACATCTTACTGAGGTGCTGCCCATCACTCTCTCATGATCTGGCCAGAACCTGCGCACCTGTGCTCCTTTGCAGGTGTGACATCACCAGTTAATCAGCAAGCTGTGTGCCCAGCAGGAGGTGCAAAGAGAGAACAGATAGTGTCCCTGGCTCAGAAGCTTATGAATCTGTAGGTGTCAAGGGCGTATTACAAAATAGTAACTGCTAAGAAAGCTCTATGTCAGATGGTTTGACCAGCCAATCCCTAAAGTGTGAGCACAGAGAGCGGGGCCGAGGGAATTCAGAGCGCTCTCTCTGGACTTACGCAGTTGAAGAAAGCTTCCCAGAAGACAGGGCCTTAAGCTATTCTTCGAGATCTTGCTGAGACTTTGGTAAGTGGAAGAGCAGGGAGAGGAAATCCGAGGTAGATGGACTGCAAGTGCCTGCCTCAGGCAGGAGGCTGGAAGGCTCAGGTAGGGTCTGCAGTCCAGAATCCATTTGATGGAGTTGAAAAGCGGTAGGGAGTTACAGGGGAGAGAGAGTGGAAACAGTTTGAGGTGGGAATTGGCTTAATTAGGAGACTCTTCACAGAGCAGCGAGCTCCTCTCTGATGGAAGTCCCTCAGATTTCAGAAAGCTGGTTCATGGCTCTCGGTGCTCCATGGTCCCTGTGCTGCCCCAGGGAGCAGCATAGCTGGGCCATCAGCGGGCAACCTGGGGACGCACTCATTCCTAACACACTCTCAGTGGAGAGGGAGCAGTAACATGGGAGATCCAGACTTGGGACACCAAATTCTAGTCATTTCTGTTTGGATGTGATTCTATTTTGGTAGCAGGTTTATTCTCTTCGTATATTCTCTTTGGCCTAATATTAGAACTGTTTAGTTTCTCTGGCTGGACGATAAGTGTCTCAGGCAGCAGGAAACTCAGACTGTGCCGGGGCGGGGGAAGGCCTGCCTGCTGAAGCTGACCCTCGACCACCGAGTTAAGGTTTCCTTGAGATGACCCGCCCACACCGCTGTGCTGCTCCCTCCATCCCTCTCCTCAGCATCACCCTCACTGCCTCACCTCCAAGCAGCATCACCCACAAGGGTTTCTTTAGCACTTGCTCTCAGTGTGTGCATCCCTCTCTGATTTGTGGTGATAGGAGTTTCATTCCACAATGCAGCTCCAAGAAATGTCACTTTTTTTTTCAAAATCAAAATTCACTTTTCTTGGAGCACCGTCTGTTCAGGTTTGTGGGAACTTAAATTTCAATCATCCCCGGGGCTTTCTCTTTGTCCCTAGTTCCACTTGGGACTGTGAAATGGTCCCAGTGGTCTTACAAAGTCTAGAACATTGGGCAAAGGTCCTCTTGTCTTGGGAACATAGGAGCCACCCCTTTGCTGTTCCTTACTCAGAGCCCTGTATTTCCTCAGAGGCCGCAGTTTGGGTGCTTCTCTGCCTGCCATGGACAGTGAGGTGAGGACGTCTTAGCTGAGACACTGTTGTCCCAGTGCCAGGCATCTAGTCTCCTTGTCATGCCACAACCCCTGGAGCTGCAAGAGCAGAGGTCCTCATTACACTCAAGACCCAGCAACAAGCCAGGCCCTACCTCATCTTGGGGCAAGCTCCCCAAACCTGTCTCAAGTTGGACTGCCTGGGTCTTGCCCATTCAACAGCTCTTTCCTTGCTCCCCTCCCCTTCTGGAACTTTCTTCACACAATCTCCCTTCCAGACCATTGGAAACCTGTCCTGGCTTCTTCTACCCAAGGATGGAGGAATAAAATTTTAATGCAACTCAGCTTTTCCTTACTCGTGTATCCTTTTAAAGTTAGGTAATGCAGAGGACATGAAGAAGGGCAATATGGCGTTCCTTTTGGCAATGAGCTTAAGTCTATTTGGGGAGACCAACAAAAAGGATGGATGCAGGTCATGGCCCCACCAAATGTGCCACGTGCCTGCAAGCACCACCGGTGCTCCAAGCCTGTCACAAGTTGAAGTGCCACTTTTTAGCACCTATACCTTCCACCCTTGTCTTTTGCTTCTCTCTAACCCCTGTACCTGGTGTTGATTTCTAGGTCACTAAGCCCGGGAACTGGCTGGATGTCTATAAAGGATCTACCACTGTGATCCTTGGGGTGACCTCCTCGGTGCCCTCCTTGCCACTCCCCAACGTCCTCCTGATGGCCAACGTCACCTGGCCCCAGGGTCAGTCTTCCACCCGGGGCACACCTGGTTGTGCTCCAGTCATCACCCTCAGCAGGTACAGAAAGGCTTGAGGGAGGGGCCAGAAAGGGTGGGATGACTGACTGCATTGTTTTGCAGCTGGACTTTAGATGAAAAGAAAGCACCGTGTTCTTTAGTGTATAAACTATGTAGAGCTCATTCATTCATTTACCAAATATTTACTTAGTATCTGTTTGTACCAAGCACTGTGCTTGGTGCTGTGGGTGGAGTACCTGGTCCTGTCTCAGCCTAGTTTTTGAGGATCTTGGCTTCCTTTTGCTTATTTTTATTTTGTCAAAATAGACTTAGGGAGTTTCTGAAAAAAGGTGAGGGGTATGAAAGTCAAGTGGGATTATGAGGTATTGAGATTGAAGAAAAAGTACTGGAAGTGTAGGAGACATCCATCCTTCTCCTTACTCTTTCAAGACGGTTAATCAGGATATAGGAAGAAGGAGTCCTGGAAATGGAGTCAGAAAACCTTAGTTCCAGTTCCTATGTAAGAAGATCTAAACTTGGGCAAATCACTTAGTTTCTTTGAGCCTCAGTTTCCAAATCTGTAAAATGGAATTAATAATACTTATCTTTCCTTCATCAAAGGGTTGTTGTGAGGATTAAATGAGATATTATATGTTGACTATCAGCCATTGCTATTGATGTGGGCAGATTCTTTAATAACTAAGGCCCTGGAACTTAAAGAAGAGTTGGTCTTAGTAATCATTCCCACTTTCAGACCACGAGCTTTCTCCCTTGGGCATCCCCCAAGCAGAGGTGGGAGCCTAGTGAAGTTGAGCCAAGGTCTAGGTAGGCACCGGACTGATTAAAATCATGGGCTTCTCTGCTGTGGGAATTTCTTGATTGTGTCCAGGATTCTCCCTCTGAAGTATGTGGAGCTACGAATCTGTGACCGGCTCCAACGCATCCTGAGGGTTAGGACACTGACTGAAAAGATCTACTACCTGAAGCTCCACGAGAAACACCCAGAGGCAGTGTTTCAATTCTGGATCCGCCTGGTGAAAATTCTGCAGCAAGGTCTGTCCATCACCACCAAAGACCCAAGAATCCAGTTCACTCACTGCCTAGTGCCCAAGATGTCCAGCAGCTCCACCGGAACAACAGTAAGTGGGGCCCTCTGGCCAAGATCCGTAGAGAGTTGGGGGAATCAGAGGCATCTGATCAAGCCTCGTGAGGACTGATGGATATTAAAGTCCACTGTTGGGGGGGCACGAGCAGGCTTCATTTTCAAGGGTCCACGATATGCACACACCCAATTGAGGTCTACAAGCATAAAAAGCAAATTAATTTCGTTTTCCTAAAAAAGAGCGGTAAAGTACTTAACTCACATAAAAATTGTTTTCTGGTTTTTGCCGATTTTTTTTCAGTATTATAAAAGAATAATGCTCACTGAGGAAAACGAGAAAATAACAGAAAAATCACCCTCACTTCTCTCCAGCCCCAAGCAATCACTTGGAACATTTTGGCATATTTCCTTCTCGTCTTTCATTTTAACTTAATTTTTAATTTATATATTCGAGGACATTAAGGACATTTATGAATGTTGCTTTTTTCAATTTAGGTTATATCATAAGCACTTTTCCATTTCTTTTGAAAGCTCTTCATACACATCATTTTGATAATTTCATGCTATTGTGTTGTATTAATCAATTAAAATTTACTTCACCATTCTTCTAACATCAGACGTTTAGAGTTGTTTCTAACTTTTCATTATTATACATGATGCTAAAAACAAGCATCTATGTGTATTGTCCACATTTCTGATTGTCTTCTCAGAATAGATTTTTAGAAACAGAATTCAAAGAGTGTGAACATTTTTAAGGCTCTCGATACATATTGCCAGATTATTTCCAGAAAGTTCATACCAAATTATACTTTCTCCAATAATATGAGTGTCTGTGTCACTGAATCCTGATCACAATTGAGAAGGATCAGTTTTAACAGATTTTCTAATATGATAGCTAAAAAGGTGGCCTCTCTTTCATTTTCAACAAGTTTGAACATGATTACATGGTTCTTTTGCATTGTTGTGTTGGCCATTTTTCTATTGGCAGCCTTGTGTTTTTCTAAATCTATTTGTAAAATAAAGCTTTCTATACATCAAGAATTTTAACCCTTTAATCACAAGTTTTCACAAATATTTCCCCCAAGGATTTGCTTTTCCCTTTCAGTTTATTTAAGACTTTTTTTTTCTTTTGACACATAGAAGGCTTTTCCAGGACCTGCTGAGGGTAGAAGCACAGGAAGGAAAAGCTTGATAAATTAGATTGCCTAAAACCTTCAGATTTCAAAATCCAAACACTTTCCCCCTCTCGTATAAGTCGTATCCTTTAGGTATGCGATCACTGACTTCCAAAGTCAGCTTGCGGAGCTCTCCTGCACTGGTTCTTAATGTTCAGATCTTGTGTTCTGGGTGAGGTAGTCACAGCAGCCCATCAGAGAGAGGAGGTGATCTTTCCAGGGGCCTCGTTTTTGGTCTGATGATTCTGGGGCTTAATGTCTGAGGAACAGGTCCCCAGGGGTAGGCTGGAAGACTCAAGTGAGGGCCTTCAAGGTTCTGGCCCAAAGAGGCCAAGAACTATCAGGGAGCAGACCTCATCATCTGACTGTCCATTTCTCCATCCAGCCAGAAAGCAGCCTCCCATCATCCTCCCAGCCCAGTGAAAGCTTCATGCTGTTGGCAGCCGAGCAGACCAGTGGCAGTTTCTCACATCTCGCAGGAAGGTCCCAGCTCCCAGCAGACAGGTGGGTCTTCCATGCAGGCAGTCCCAGCATCCCTTCCCGCAGCAAACAGGCCTGGGTGGGGTCAGCGACACCCTATGCCAACCTATCTCAGTTCCTTCTTTTTATTCTAGACATGTATGCATGTGACTTTTCCCCTTAATTTTGTTGTAAGCCTGTCCTTGAAAACAGGGTCTGTGGCTGATTGATCTGAATATTTCCTAGGCAAACCCCAGTGTTTTCATATGGAAGATGCTCAATAAAAGGGAGGAAGAAATTGATTCAAAGAAGGGTATGCTAATAAAGCAGACTCATGGAGTTAGATCCTATTGACTATCTCCAACCCCAGCTCACAAAGGTCCCTGGGGTAAGACAAAAACCTGAGTTCTCTTTGCCTCATCTATCTCTTCTGTAAAATGGACAGACTAGACAGTAACCCAAAAGGGAGACCACTGCTGGCTACAAAGTTTTACTAATTTACTAAGTAACTGTATCAGACTCTTTCTGTAACAAGTGATAGAAACCCCAAACAAGATCATGTATCCAGTATGTTGAACAACTACAACCTGTAGGTTATCACCAAAATGCAAATTTATTTTTGTCTTCTCTTTATAATTTTTTCAGTGGGAGGAATTTTCCTCTTGCCCCTGGATAAAAAGCCGGTTCTGGGCAGGCCCCATAGCATGTGGGCTCCCTCTTAGAACATAAAAGGTCCTTTGGTCCCTTTAAATTGCAAAAGTAGCATCAATTCTGAAAGTAAAATATCTAGTGCCTGAAAATTATCAAATCTCTGCCCTGATCATGTCTTCTCCCTTCTCTCAGTCTGGCCCCATGTTAAGATGACCTTTCATAGTGGGGACTGGGTTGTCACTCCGCTCTTTCTGTTCGCATGTTTAAAGTTGACTTTTTCCCTCTTCTGAGCTTTCTTGGGTTCTTTGAAGCCCTCCATCTGCCGCACCCCCAACTGCAAATCTGGTGATGCTGTGACACCTTCCTTGCGTGTGGCCACCACCCCTCCTCAGGCCCTGGCTCTGCAGGCATCCGTGCCACCCAGGCCCTGCTTGTCAGAGACCCGTTACTCTTTAAGGGAGTCCTCTTGGGTAGGACTTACAGTGGCTCCAGGCTGGCTCTCTCTCTCTCTGATACAGCCCACATCTGGTCCTCGGGAAATGCCCTCTCACACTTTGGCCACTGGAGAGGAGGACCATGCCTTACGAACACAGAAGCAACTCCTCTTCATTCCACCACCAAAGAAACCCCTTCTCCCATCTCTACCGTCCTCCATGTTTTCTGGGCAGGAGTTGTGCCCCCACCTACTGGGTCTCCCTGCCCCAGGGACCACAGCTCAAGCTCTCTGGGTGGTCCCAGAAGCCCCTTTCTTTCAGTTTCAGGGAGAAGAGGCAGCAGCTCTATAAAAAGAACTCTGCACACATCCTCTCTCCCGAAGCTTTTATGGCCTCGCCCTGGGGCAGCATCCCAGTGCTGGTCATGCTGGGTCAGTTCTCCCAGGTCATAGGGTGCCTTATATGTACTTTCCAGTGTTTTCTTTTTTTCAGTTCCAGGATAGTTTTCTTGAATTACAATGTAAAATTTTCTTCTTTGGGTGCTCCTATGGTTTGTATGTTGGATCATCTTTGCCCATCTACGAGATCTGTCACTTTCTCTTTCTTTTGTATTCTTTAAACTCTCTTCCCTTTAGCCTTTTCTCTCTCTTAAGGCATTATCTGCTTTCTTTGCTCTTGTGTTGTTTATAGTTTAAGGCTTCATTTTGGAAATAATTGTTGTTTCCTGAAAATGTCTAATGCTTTTCTCAGCTTTATCACTTCCTCTATAAATCTTTTAAATTCTGACTTCTATTGGTCTTTCATGTATTCTTTCATTTTCTTAGTTTCTTTTGGCTCCTTTTGAAATGCCAAGTAGCAGTTTCTTCTCATTTTGTAGGCACATCTTTTTCATGTGCTTTCATGGATTTATTTTATGTGCTATATGGATATATTATGCCTCATATCCTCTTTCTTTCTCATATAATTTTGTGTGGCGTTTGATTATGATCCTTTACTGATGCTGCTTTTTACCTGAAATGGTTTTCCTGAACCTTTGGGGAGGAGGCACTCCTCAGGGTAGCTTTCTGGTTCCAGCTCTAGAGCTCCCTCTTGTGTCGTTTTGTGAAGTGTTTCCGGCCCTCCCGGGTCGTATTCCTCTCTCTTATCTTTAGCTGACCTTTCTCTTTCCTTTGCTTCTATCTTACTCAATTTGAATTCAATCTCCAGTGGTTTTTTCCTTAGCTTGAAGCTGTGTCCTGCAAGGGAGAGTGTTCTGATGGTTTGGAGAGTTCATGAGGCATAGACCACTCCAGTCCCTTCAGACTTCATCGCTGACCCCTCACACTTAACTTCCAGCTCTCTTCTTAAATTTGCCACCAGCACTCACCACTGAGGGACTGTGGGAAATTTAGGAGCGCTCCGGTTTTTAGGTACATCAGATACCCTGTTGTTTCTGCCTGCTTCCTCTCACGCAGATACTGATATCACGTGGGTCTTGGAGCTGTCTTTAGCTCATCTCAAACAGATCTTCATCTCAAACATGTGGGACTCATATTGGCCTAACTTATAGGAAGGGAGGGGGAAGACCTCCAAAGAACCATTGTTAAGTTTGCTTCTGTCAGGTGCCTCGGAGATATTACTGGCTCAAGAGAAGTTGTTTATGTTCATTTCTCAGCTTGGGAGTTCTTGGACCATTTCGTTTCAGACTTCAAACTAGCATGAGGACAGGCCCAAAGATAAGAAATTTCAGAAGAGACTTTTCTTTTGACCTAGGATCCGGGTGAATGTAGATGAGCTTGCTGTCCCGGGTGGATTGCTTTCTGGTGTATCTTTTTGCCAAGAATGCAGTTTTGAAAGTCCTGGATTTATGCAAAAACCTCACTTAACACCACACCTAGCCTGGGCCCAAGACCTTATCTCCTGTGTCACATGCCCATGAAAACCCCTGCCCTGGGTGACCAAGACTGGCAAGTCCCTCGGGCAGCGCCGGCTTCTGCTCACATTCACTTTGCTGGTCTTTAATTTTTGGCCCCTGGGATTTTTCTTTACTTTTTGTGAGTTCAACAATGCATTTAAAATTATGCTTTTTATATTTTATCCAGCATTTCTAGGTGTTTTGTGGCAAAGAGGTTTTTAGATTATTTGGCCATATTGCTAGTCTAGCTAAATAATTCTAAAAATATTTTCACTTAAAGAAAAACCTCACTGCAGTTGTGTCTGAATAGTTACAGTGTGAGTGATTTTTATTTTCTTTTTGGTGCTGTTTTATGGTTTCTATTTTTTTCATTTAAAATAAATACGTATTTCACTTGGAATCAAAATTTTAAAAAACATTTTAGCTACACTGTGTGTTTTTCTAGACAGAACAAGTGGCTGTGATTTTTTTTTTTTTTAAGTTGCTATTCTTTTGAAGAACTGTTTTCTTTGCCCTTAGGCTGATGCCTGGCAGGTTATAGTGGGCATCAGGCAGATCCAGTGGGTTCCGATTTTGTCTTTGAGTCATGATGCGTTAGGTTCTCAACAAATAAAAGCAACGCTTAAGAGCTGGAGAATGTCTGTTTGACTTCAGCAGAGCAGGCCTTAGCTCTGGCCTCACTCCTGCTTGGCTTTCTCTCCTCGAGTCACTCTTAGATACGTCATATCCTATATACGTATTGTCACTGCCCATCATTTCCATATTCACATCTGCGTTCGAGGCATTCGTACTGGAAAGACATAATTAGAAAACAGTTTTTAAATTAGATTTTTAACAATATCTTCTTTTTCTTCTATTGCTTTAAATGATTTCAAAATTCCTGGGCTCCAACAGAAACACCGATCCTGCCACTGAAGTAGACAATTCCGACAGCTGCCACAAGACACTCTCACCTGTGGTTTCTCCGATCAATATGAATGTACCCATGAGAGCGGTCTTGAGTCACAGCCTCTGGGAACAAGACAATCCAGATGAGCACTTCCTTCAGACTCCTGTAGCCAGTTCCCTAGGACAGAACTTTTTGGGACCCTGACACTTAGCCAAAATGGGGTGCTCTTCCCTGGCTTCATTCAGTGCACTTGCTACAACCTCCTATAATGCTGTTTTCCCACTGTGGGCCAAATTACCATGGGAGAGGTAAGATGGTGTTTATAACAAAGTGCTTCTGTCCTTCCACCAATAAACCTCCAAGTAAGTCTTTAATTGCTGTCGGCTGTGCCGTGGGGGCTCCAGGCTGGGCAAGGAATGATTAGGAGCAGCAGATCACTCCTTGTGAAAATAAGTGGGAAAAACGTTCTGTCTCTGCTCAATTGAAACCCTAAAGCAGCCAAGAAAGCTAGTCCAGAGGAAAGGGCCTAGGGAGAAATCCAGCTTCCTCTTTCAGAGGGGGAGGGTGGGGGACCGGGCTGGGCTGCTACAAGCCCAAAGTGAAAGAAATCCTGAGAATGCTAGTGACCAACTGGAAGACACCTTTGTGTTGCCCGCTTACCTCGTGCAAGAAATTGAGTCTTTATCGCCCCACTGCCTGTGTTAGGGTAAAGCTATAAAGACTCACCCTGGGCCATGCAAACTTTGGTTGCTAAGGAAGACATGGCTTCTGGTAAGGAAGATGGTGACCACCCATCAATGAAAGTCCTAATTGACTCTTCCTACTCAGGACCTAATGAAAGCAAACTGGAAGCGCAGTGTCTGTGTGTATCAGGGATGGGGCAGGAGCTTTGGCCAACCTCCGGACAAGTGGGGAAGATTTACTTGGAGGATACTACCACAACATTCAATAAGTATTTATTGAGCTCCTGCTAGGTGCCAGACACTGTGCTCAATGCTGGGTATATTAGAGAGAACAAGACAGATGGACAGTTACATGCCTTTAGGAAAGGTATGGGAGGGATACCGAACCCTATTTTGGAGACACAGAAAGGCCATTAAGGTTGCCATGATGTTTGAGCTACTTGGTCTGCAAATAAAGGCTGGAAGGACGTGTTTTCACACTGTAGGAAATATATTGATGGAGGGAGAAAGAATATAACTACCCTCCCCTTGTACATGCGCAGTTGGGCTGAGCAGTAAATCCTATTGGGTCAGAAAAGATATCTAAGCTGAGAGGACACCTAATGTTCATGGGTTTCCTCCTGCCTCCAATAAAAATACTAACAAAACAAATTTCCTTTCCCCATGTCACAATCAAATATGGTGAGCATTATTGTTGCTGGTGAGAGACATCTAGAAGCTGAACTTAGAAGAGGCTAATGTGAAGGGTGACCATACTTCCCAAGTTATGCCTGTTGTCCTAGTGTCATTATTAAAATGTACCCATTCCACTCTCAAAAGTTTCCCTGTATGAATGGTAAATCATTCTACTAATAAGGTGTGTTTAAAACATTTAAGAGATCTCCACCTCCACTTCTATTGTCTTGGTTTAAGCTTCCATCAACTCTCTTTAGACTATTGTGATAACCTCAATTGGTCTCCCAGACTCCGTCATCATTATAACAATAATAGCTGACTTGATTGGACACTTTTATGTGCCAAGCACTATGCTCAGACTTTATAAAGGTTGCTTAATCCACACAACTCATTGGGAGGTAGATATTCTTATTATCACATTTTCCAGATGATGAACCTGAGCCATAGAGAGATTCAAGAACTTGCTTAAGGTCATTGAGGTAGTAAGTAGCAGAGCTGGGAACTGAACCCAGTCTGTCTAACTCCAAAGTCTGTACTCTTGGTGGCTCTCTGATTTCTTCCCAATGCATTTTCTTTCCATACCTCTAATAGAGCAGTCTTTCTGAAACATAAATCTGACTATAGCTTCCCTTTGATAAAACCAAACTCTTTGATATAAATAACCAAGCCTATTTCTCCAGCTTCTTCACTGGCCACTGCTCCCCTTAAAGCTCAGGTTCCCACCATACCCAAGTTCTGGTGGTTTCTGTAATGCACATGTATTTAAATACTGCAAGGATGTCGCATATCCTTCACTTTACCCAAATAACTTTCCTTGTATTTTCTACTATTGTTTTCATGATACTTGCCCTTACTGATGGAGTTCTTCCATGCTACCGCGGTACCCTGCATGCCTGTATTATAGCATTTCTCACATCATTGTACTTATTTGTTTACGTGTCTATCTCCTCCATGGGACTATGAACACTTTGAGAATAGATACCATTTTATATTAGTTAGAGTTCTTTGATGGCCAATCCAGTAAGAAAAGCTCTAATTTAAATCAAAAAGAATTGATTGGAAGGATAGGGGTTTGCTCACAGGATCAAAGGGACAGCTGAAGAGCCAGTCTTAGAACAGCTCTGGGGATTCAGGTAGGAGTGGCTAATTGACCATCTCATCAAACCCTGCAGCAGGCTGGGTTGTTTCAGCAAAGGAAATGGAGGGGTATTACAAAACAACAACATGGGGAATGAATGTCTGGTGGCTGATAACAAATGTCTGTCACAGGCTGACTCTTTGTTCTCTGTTGGAAGAGGCACTCTGCCATGGGCCTCAGGCACCTCTGCACGTCCTTGCTAAGTATGTCAGATTTCAAGGCCTGATTGTCCTCTGACCTGGAGCTGTTTCTGTAGCTAGTCACATAGGCAATTAAGTAGGTCAAGGTGACTACTGCATGACTACCTTACGACCACATGCTCTCGGGGAGAGGGTGCTGGTTTAGTTACTGTTTGGTTACAGTTTGTTGAGCCCTCAGCCCTGGCTTCCTTAGCTGTATGCATCCACTGTGTGCATGGCCCTCATCTGGGCCCATTGTGTTGCCCTGAGGGACTTGGGGTCAGGGCTGCTGGTATCACGATTCTGATGCTCCTGCTGTTTGCTGTGTTAGTAACGAACTGTCTTGCTTTGACCCGCTGCAACTCATTGTCTGCTTTGAGCTCCTTTGGGATTGTGGTAAGTCACTCTGCTGGCTTGCTCAGTCATTTTCTTTGGAGAATTGTTTCTCCTTGCCATCCTTCATGAGACCTGGGTTCTCTGACACTGTCCAAACCCACATACACTCTTATTCTACAACTTTTTTCACTATTAAAAGTAATCTCCTACTAACATTATACCTCTATTTTGGGGGAAAAGATCTCTTTACAGAGAAAACATGAAACTTCCTCAGTTACTGCATCCATTTCCAAATCTGGGTTCACTGGGCCTGTCCATTTGTCCCCTGGTTTGTTGATCCCTTGCCTTCATATTCCAGAGCTTCTAGACCAAATGGTTAATTGAATAGCCACAAAGATACCTTATGTACAAAAATGAGAGAAGGAGTAATTTAAATTGTATATATTACTGCAAAGAAAGAAATGTGAGTGGGAGTTTTAGTTCTTGTTTCTGAATCTTGGTGACAAGGCAGTAGCTAGTGTTTATGACTCCCTTCCTCTACAACCCATTCCATATACTCTTTGCTCTGACCAGCGCCTCAGCTGGTTGGGGTTCTTATCCTGGTAGGGAGACCGCAAACCTTCATTCCTGGAAAACCCAAGGACTGATGGTCTTGCACGTGTAGAGTCATGTGCTCTTCTGTTAACTAAGCAGGTGCTATAAAGAGGCATCTCAGGGATTATCTGGGTTCCATTCCTACTCCTCCTTGCCCCCACCTTGTAGAAGCAACTCTTTTTGCCTTCAGTAAGAGTCAGTCCACTCCTAACAGCTCCAGAACCCCCTTTTATACATAAGCACTATGTTCCCCTAATGGCAAGAGGAGCCCAAAATGGCAGCATCAGGCTCGGTTTTCATTCAGTGGAATGATTTTTGTTGGCCCTGGTGGAATTGTTTCCACCCTTCGGTATTAAAATCTCCAAACTTCAGACATGCTAGTTATGAAATTTTTTCGTACAACTCTTTCTTAGCAAACTCCTGAAGGACGTACTCTGTTAAAATGAAGTAAACTCAGAAAGAGGAAAACATGGACCCAGAAAAGAGATGGGTTCAATGAGCAAAGAAGTGAAGAGACATGCAGGATGCTGAAGGGAGAGCCCACAATGACAGCATAGCAGTCAGGGCTTATTGGAGCAAAGAGGGGACTCTGCTAAATACATCTTCACAAAGGTCAAATTGGTGGGATGCCTCATATGTTTAGAGTTACACATATGGCAGAATTTAGGGGTGTATTAGGAATAGGTATACAAAACCAAGCAAACAAAAAGGTGACAAATTATTAACTCCAAGAGGAAAAGTTGTACAAAAAAGAATATGTCAAGTATATACTTTATGATTATTCATAATACTTAAACATGGAATATAGATTTAATCAAAGATAACAAGAACTATATTTGGAGGATGGATGAAGGACAGTTGTTGGCGGGGGAGGGCGGGAATGGGTGGGAGAGGAGGGAGATGAAGATTAGATCATCATCTTCCATAACTGGAAATCAATAGTTAATACCCAAAACTGAAAAATCAAGAAATAGCAATATAAGTGTGTCATTGAGAGATTTGAAGATAACTGTTCAAAGAAATATCTAAAAAAGTTTAAAGAAGTTATTTCTGAGAAATGAACATGAGGATGAAGAGTGTATGGACAAGCGGCTGCTATTTTTGATAATAAGCCTTGAGAACTGCTTGACTTTATAAACTATGTTCATGTAAAATTTTGATGAAAATAATTTAAAACTTAAAGTAAAAATTATGCAGGAGACACTTGTATTTCACTATGCAGTTTGTGAAAAGAAATACTGGCAGTCCAGCTGAGGACTCTCTGTCACCCTCCTTGGTTGAGTCTGCAATTCCTCAAACCCAGGAATGATTATTATGCTGAATTTGCTGTTTATAATTTCCATGTTTTAAAAAATTATATACCTATATCTATCTCTCTCTGAATATATCATGTTTCTCTATCTGTATCTCTATAGCTATCTATATATCTGTATCTCTATCCATCTATATCTATCTATCTATCTATATCTATCTATCTATATCTATCTATCTATCTGTCTGTCTGTCTATCTATCTATATCTATCTATCTATCTATATCTATCTATCTATCTATATCTATCTATCTATATCTATCTATCTATCTATCTATCTATGTATCTATCTATCTATCTGTCTTCGAGTGGTTTGTAGGTTGTTTTGCACACATGCATGTTTCAGCATAGGGACGAAGTGTTTAAACAGATGGTGCTATACTTTGTGTGTTCCTTTGAAACAGTTTTTTCGTTCAACACTGTGTCTGAGGGATTCCATTCTGACTGGCAGACTACACAGTAGCATTCTGGGTTAACCCCCTATTGGTGTTAACTCAGAGTCAATAGCCCATGGTCCCTGAAAGTTCATGTATTTCCCTTTTATGAGGACACGTTATCACTGTAAATGGCCTAAGGTCTCTGGGGATGCCTAAGACAATGGTTCCTAGAAGGTGCTCCACAGTGTTTATTGGGTCCTTGGTTAAGGGTCCCGGCCTTCCCTTCACTTGAGGAGCTTTGGGTCTGAGCATTACCTGAGGACTGAAAAGTGGTGAGCAGCCGTGGTTCTCTAACCTTATCATCAGAGCTGGCATTCTTTTGATGATACAAATGACCTTAGTCATTGCCTATCAATTCTATTCCTAGAGACCCTAAATCAGTCCTGAGTTTTTGGTTGTCAACAACCAAATCTAGGGGCCGGCCCAGTGGTGCAGTGGTTAAGTTCACACACTCCGCTTCAGTGGCCCAGGGTTCACCGGTTTGGATCCTGGGCGTGGACCTATGTACCGCTTATCAAGCCATGCTGTGGCAGGCGTCCCACATATAAAATAGAGGAAGATGGGCATAGATGTTAGCTCAGGGCCATCTCCCTCAGCAAAAAGGAAAAAAAAAGACGAGGATTGGTGGCAAATGTTAGCTCAGAGCTAATCTTCCTCAAAAAAAACCCAAAACAACAAAAAACAACTCTAACTAATTCAAGCATAGAACGAACGTTTTAAAGGCTATCCAGTAGCTGACACACTCTCCAGAAAGGCAAGAGAAAAATGACTTGAAGTCTTACACAACCAGGAGAAGGACCAATAGCCCAACCACACTGCAGGACTCCTCCAACAAAAACCCCACTCTCCGACTATTGCAACTGCCCTTGCACAGCTCCCACTCGTGACCCTGGGCCAGGAGTCTGCCGTCACTGTCTTCTCAACTCAGACACTTCTACTGCCACCTGACCGAGGAAAACGAGACTCCACGCAGTGCCATCTTCCTTATGTTGCTTGCTCCAAAGTCAATGTCTCATGCAGGTATGTCTGCTTGGGTTACAGGATGCACCTCAGCTGAAAAGGAGGCTGGGAAGTAAGGTCAGGCTTCCTCCTAGAGGAGGTAAACTTCACAATGCGCAAGCAGTCAGAAGGCATGAAAAATGTCCCCAAGGCACCCTTGATTAATTCACTGCAGACACACTTTTCGAAAGGTTAAAGCATTCTCGGCTCTGATTACCTAGCTTGACTGTGCAGAAGCTCCTTGACTCTTCCCCAGAGTCCTCTTCTCCACTGAGATCACGAAGCCTATTTACTGGCTTGGAGAGAGCCTATTAAACATTCTAGTGCTTTCTCAAAACATTGAAGATGTGCAGGCATTCAGGGTCTTCTCAGAGGACAGAGTTGGGCGAGGATGGCAACAGGAACGTGATAGATCCAAGTTAGCCTCCTTGTCTCCCAAAGCCTTTGAATTCCTTTTCTACATCCCAGCAAGGAATTTCTGGCCTCTCATTGTTCTTGAATGTGAACCAGGTTGAATCCAGGTTCACTTTAGCCAACACAGCGAACTATTGGAAACATACAGAGCTGTGAGAAATAGCACGGTCATTACGTAATCTCTGGTAAGAGCCCCCATATCAGTAAAATCAGACCTAAAATTATGTTCTTCCTCCTTGATGGCGTGCCTTAAAATTTATCCTAATAAATATTCCCAGACTTTACAGATACTGTATAAATTGTCCGATTTCTACAAAATATTTTCCTGGGTAAATACTTTCTCTTCCCTGCCTTGTTTCCTACACTGATCTACCCACACCCCCCAGGCATCATGGAAGTGAGTTCTCGTTACTAGCCTACTAACACTGAGGGGAATTTTTAGTATCCTCCTGCAAGAGGGGAAGGCTTCCTCTCACAAGAGATGGCAGTGGGGAGTTTTCAGAAGGATTTAGGGTTTGGGTCTTCCGAGGCTCCTCAGCTGTCTCTGTTCCATTTAGAGTTTCCCTCTGTTTCACTGTGCCTCACTTTTCAATTGAAGCTGTGACTTCAACAGCCTGCGTAATTCAACAATCCAAAGAACCAAATCTGAGTTTTTTCTCTTCATTTTTTGTTCTCTTCAAGTTATTCGGTATCATCAGAAGCTCCCATCCTACCCCAGTCCTGCAATTCTTCTTACCCTTATACTGTCCTAAGGCAGTGGCCACCTATTCCCCAGATACCCTCTGTAGCCAGATGGTCCTAGTTATTAACACACGATAATTTAATTAGCTGTGAACCATTGACAGTTGAGTTCCCACCCAAGAATATTAGTGGAATCTTGCTGCATTCTATTCCATCTTGTTAGGATAATAAACTCCCTACCATCCACTCTCTAGTCCCAATTTCTGTATCAGAGTTCTTCAGTTGCAAGCGACAGGAATGACTCTTAGGCAGAAAGAGCTTGGGTTCCGTACCTTCCTGTTCATTTGAGGATGGCTCACAGAATCGGAGACAGTTGAAGAAACAGGCTTGGAAAGGACAGGCCCAGGGCAGCACCAAGGATGTACGACTTGGATTTAACTTATGGTCTGTTTGGGACACGGTCACTGGCACAAATAAGTCTCCACCGTGTTCTCTGTCCTTGTATTTTTCCATCTAACATTCAGTGTCCCAGGAATCCTAGTTTGGACCCTGTGCCTACCTGTGCCAGTTATCTTCCTTTTCCCCCCCAAATCCATTCTCCCTTTGCCACCCTCTCTGTGCCCCAGAACTCCTTCGGTTCCTGCCTCTTCTTCAAGCTGATCCGTAGAGGCTATATCAAAGGCCCTCTGGTTTCCAGGTAGGTTTGGCCAGTGGGAGGTCCAAGCAGAAGATCAGAGAGAGAGAGGAGAATGGAGTCAAGACAGTTATTGCCTCTCTTGTAGTCATGGAAGGTTAGCTGTTTCCCGTAACAGAAGAAAAGCTGCTCCTCTCATGGCAGCCTCTTCTAGTCAATGTCCTCTTTCCTAGATCCAGTAACCATTCCATCCCCTAACCCTTCAGGTCCATGGTATGGACTTGGCTAACTGGATGCTCCCTCCTGAATTTAAATCTTGAGCAGGGGTGTCACTCATCCCTGTGAAGCTGTGGCAGTGTGGGCAGCATCCCGACCAGGCAGTTCTGGCTGTGTGACAGCCAAGCTTCCATCCAGCTTATTGCACCTCTTTTGGTTCCTACCAAGAACCAGAAATCCCCCCAGCCTGATTCCTTTAACTTTCAGTTGTGTCAAGACCACCCCCCCCCCCCCAGGTAGTCTTCCAATAAATTCCCTTTGGTGTAGGTTGGCTTGCCACTTCCTGTTCTTACAACCATGAAGTCTAATTGGTGTGATACTGTTCCCAGAAAAGTGGGTGCTGTGTAAGCAAACACGGCAGCCACAGGTGTCTTATTTGTCTGTGTATCCTCCAGTGCCTGCTTCCTACAGGACACCCAATTATGTGTTGTTAAATAAATCCATTTCTGCCATAGCTAGCTCTGGCTGCCCCACATTGTTCCTCCCCCCAAACAAGGGAATAAACTACGGCCTTTGCTGAATGGATGTATCACTGAAATTGATTTCCCAGAGACTATTTCTTAGATGAAAATACCACCACATAAGGGACTGGTAAAGCTTTTAAGGGCCAATAAATACATTATTTAAAAGAGAAAATGAGCAAAACATTGTTATCCAGAGTCAACTAGAGCCCACCAGGACATGACATTTGCAAAAATAATATAAGAATGCATCTTAAAGTCTCTGAAATGGGATTCAGAGAAAAGAGAAAATGTCCTCAAGGAATAATGCCAAGATGGACCCACTTAAAATGTGTGATGAAAATGAGATTAAAGCTTCCCAAATGCCCTTGTATGTCTTGAGAAAAATAATCAACAGCTGGTCAATGAAGACTCCAGTTGTGCTGATGGGACAGCAGGAAGGGGAAGCAGAGGGCTGGGGACACTGACCATGTAGAAATGAGCGGTCCTGACCTGTACCCTGGGGTTACCAAGGGATTCCCTAAGGAACTCTCAGAACCACAGGCCACTGATTTAGAAAACAACAAAAGACAACGGTCTCATTTTCAGCAAGAATCCTTTTAGGTCAGTTTAGCCAGAATCCCCTGACCCCTGATGTTTCCTCAGTAATTTTCCATCTGCTGACGCCCACCCTGCTCCATGGCTGTACAGCCCCACTCACCCAGGCTGTATTCAGTGTTGAGTCCAATCTCTCTCCCCCACGGCAAAGTCCCATCGCACTGGTCCCAACACCTATTGTGATAGTCCCCCCACCAAAATAGAGTCTTTTTTATCATGCTTTGAAAAAAACACAACAAAAAGCCCATAAGAGATCAATCTTGAGAAATCCAAGACTATGGTTTCAAAAGAGGGAAACAACCACTGAGAGTGGTAAAGCTTCATAAAATGAGCATTTAAAATGAAAATTAGAATTATTAAGGCCAAGGCCACTTACAGGAACTATAACTTGAATGGAAACGACCAGAAATACAACAATCTAGAGATATTCTGAGAGTGGGCAGTTCTGGTGTTCACTCTGTCTCTGTTTCCTGCCTGACTTAGGATAAATCAATTTCCCCATTGGGGATAGGGATTTTTAAAATTAAAATATCACCAAAATTTTTAATTGTGTCCAAACAAAACATTGTTTTGGATGTTAGTTGCAATAGTAACTGGAAACACACCATGTATCCATACAAAGAAATACTCATAGACAGTTTCTTCTAAATTGGTTTTATAACCCCTAAAACCTCCCATTAAGCACATTGGCTTGCACAAAGAAGGAAAGGAATTTCCATCACTTCCATCCCTCCCCTCACCGCCATTCAAAGGCCATGTCTAGAGGCAAGAACATTACAACTAGTAGTACTAGACTGTCACACATGCATACTCAGGCTATTCCATTTGTAAATGCTTTGCATTTTTATAAAAGTGTCTCCACATCTACAATCTAACCTAATTCTCATAATTGTGTGGGATAGCTGTTATTACGGACTATACTCCTCGGATGAGAAAAGTAAAGCCCAAAACAGGTCAGCATGAGCTTTGGGCAGCTTGTGATTATCCAAGGCCAGAGGGCAGTAGGGCAATGGCCTCCAGGCCTGTTCTCACAGGCATCAGTCTCCACCCTGCCCATTCCCGTCATCACTGAGACCTTTGGTTGCAGTCTCCGGCCAGTCTAGTTGCTAAACCAAGGGGCCGGCTCACGCCAAAACCCGGATTCTTTCACGTGCCTATATAAACAGAGCCGATAACTGCCACCAGGCGGCGCCACATCGCAGCCGGGACTCCAGTGGATCGGGTGTGCACCTGCCAAGCCCCTTGGCTGAGCAGGCTAAACCCAGGCATTTTACTAACTTCACAGTAACGCCGCCCCACCCCGACTGCCTATTGGGACCCCACTTAGCAGTCTATAATGGAGTTTTACTGTTTTTGAGCAGCCAATCCAATACACCTTTACGGATCCTTTTTCGGAACTACTGTGTTGAATACAAGCTTCTGATTAGATTTCGTTATGACTTCTAACAGAATCATGCATAAACCTTTACATATTGGCGTATATATTTATTACAGGTTTTTCCCCTTTACATTACAGCTTGAGTAGCATATCAACTTTTGAAATAATATATAGGTAGGTTATAATCACTGAATTTTGTTTCAGAATGGTAAAACGGGTGTTACAAATATTTGTCATGAAAAGGGGACTTGGGTCGGACAGGATTGAGAACCACTATTTGGAGTATGGACCTTCTCCTGAATACTGCCCTGTTGACTTTGATGATATCTGAACAAATAGCAACTTTTTAGCCTCCTTCGCTGTCTCCACTTTCTCCTACTTCCACCTCACACTGGGGCTGCTCCTGGAGGCTCCTTTGCTCTGCTGGTCCCACACCTTCTCCTTAGCTCTCAGGAAAGCAAGTCCCTGACAGCATCACTTGCGCCCAGTACAATCTCAGCCAGGCCATGGCCGGCTTCTCAGGCTCTTTCACCCTTCCCAACCCCACAGGTACGTCCTGCTGGTTCCACCCTCACTCCAACACACTTGTCATCTCCAATCTCTTCCGGACTGTCCATCCAGGTGAGAACTTGGGCTACACTCTCTCCTGACAGTGTTTAAAACGTCCTCTGCTCTAGTTGGGAGTGTATCCTGTTCTCACGGAGTGATCTTAGTCAATTGAGCCTGAAGATCTGAAACCTGGCGAGCCCAGCTGGGCTTTACTGCCTCTGCCGAGGCGGCACTGCCATCCAGGGGGGCTCGCACTCTTGAAGATTTTTCTTACCATTGTTTTCCCTGAGCTGATTATTCACTCCCTCAGGCTGCCTCTCTCAATTGGTGGGGCAAGGGGGCAGGTGAGAGAGAATTTGTGAGAACACACAATTATTTAAACTAGCTTTCTTTCTCTCCTATCAGACCATACCCAGATTTTCTGTTTTCTCTATCCTTTGGCCACCATTCAACCTCTTTCCTTGGTAGGTTGTCACTAGTTAAGTTTTTGCTATTAAAAAAAATTATTATATATTTACTGTGGACTGGGAATAATTCTGTGACATGGCTTCTTTGCAGAGGCTGCTGATTACCTCCCAATATCCTTAAATAATAAATAAGAGAACTCTCCAGTTTAGGTGGGCTCATGGTCACCCAGCTAAAAGCTACATTTCCCAGCTTCCCTTGTTTCTGGGTGTGACCATGTGAGTGAGTTCCGACCAATGGGATATGAGCAAGTGATTATGCCATTTCCAGGTCGTGCCCTTAAAAGGAATGAGTGTGCACTCCCCTGCTTTCCTCCTTCTCACTGGCCAGGATGCAAATATGATGGCAGGAGCTGGAGCAGCTGCCTTGGAACCCAGAGATGGAAGCCATATGTTGAGAATGGTGGAGATACTCTACCAGTTCTGGACTGCCTACCACGGGACTACTGTGTAAGAGAGAATCAAAACTCTATTTTGTTTAAGTCACTATATTTTGGGGTCTTTGGGCTACCTAGACTATACACTAAGTGACAGCTTCGTGCCACTATCTTTACCCAGAAGCCTGTACTTCCTCGTTATTTGTACTTACTTGTGTTTTTCTAATTTCAAATTTTATGTTTTATATTTTCCTTTTTTAAAACTCACCTCTTAGTTAGTGGTTCATCTAATGTTTCTTTTTTTTTCAAAGAACCAGCTTATGGATTTATTTATTCCAGTGTGCTTAGCGTTTTAAGATTATTTTGCTACCTGTACGCTTGAATGAATTTCCAGCCATTTATGGAATTATTGGGTCACATCCTTTCCTCCTCAACATTCTTTTTACATTGTTCCATTGTCCTATGCCATCTAAAATTGCTGAAAAGAAGTCTGAGGCCAGTCTCATTTTATTCCCCTCCGTAGATTGTCTGCTTCTTCTATCTGGATGTCTGTAGTAGGATGCTTTTGTTATCCCTAAGATTTAGGAACTTCACAAGAACCGTTCTGGTCTCAATGGTTTCTTTGCTCAATTTACCTGGAATATAGTAAATCTTGTTAATTTGCCAAATTGAGCCTTTTTGTTTCAGAAATGGTTTTTCCTTTTAGGTTTTTGACTACGTTTTCAATTCCATTTGTTCCCTCTTCATCAGGGACTCTAGCCATATGTTGGATCAACATAAATGTCTTACAGATCTATCATTTTCTTTCCAGTCGCTTCATCCCTTTGCCCCTCTTTATTGTGTTCTGTGTGACATTCTCAAGCCTGTTATCCATGTCACTGGCTCAGTTTTCTGCCATGTCAACTCTACTTCTTGTGGCTTCTAATGTGACTTTCAGATATTTAGTGGGGTTTTCTTCTATTCTTTCCTTAACTTTTCAAGACCCTTTTTCATCTGATTTTGATATCTCTGATTTTTTTGTTTCATAGGGAAACTAATTTCCTTGAGAATGTAGAGAAAATTCTTTTCAAAGACTTTGTTCTATTTCCTGGAATCATTTTCTTCTGATATGTGCTCTTTATGTGTAGTTTCCTATGGATGTTCATTAGGAGAGGAGGGCAGTTTCTTACATGGATCCCATGGTAGCTCTTTACTGAGAAATAGTGATGATTTTAATAATTAAAAAAATGCTTGCCGGAATCCATCAGCCTTTTAAATACAAATTCTATCTCACAGGAACTATAGTAGCTAGAGAAGCGGGCTAAACACTGCAAGGAAGTAACCAGACAGATCCAGGAGGTGGGACATTCTGTAGGACAGCTGACTAAATTGCTTCCACTAGTAAGTGTCCCCAAAAAAGGGACTGTACTAGATTAAAATAAACTTAGGGAGAATGTGTGGCCCTGGCTTGGATACTAATTTGGATAAATCAATATCCAAATTATTGTAAGAATAATTGGAGAAATTTTAGTATGGCCTGGAAATTAAATGAGATGAGGTGAAAGTACACTGAAACACAAAGGTAGAGAGTATTGACTAAATCAAACAGGTTATAAGCCAATTTTTAGAGTATGATCTCCTTTTGGTATGCACGCACGTGTCGTTGTTACAGTGATGTTTTCTGGAAGGTAGGAATACTCTGTTTGTTTTTTAAACTTGTATTTTCCAATGTTCTACAAAGCACATGTACTGCTTATGTAATAAAGCTTTTTTAATAGTGATATAGGTTTAAATGAGACAGATTTACCATGAAGATAGTAAAGTTTAAGTTTCAGGGTCTTTTATTCACCTGGGCCCTCCCAAGACCCTAGGAGGACCTCTAGCAATTTTGTATCAGACTTTTGTGAGATTTTTAAAATTTTACTGTTTATGTTCCAGAATTTTTTTATTATGGTAACATTTACTATTTTAACAATTTTTAGGATTACAGTTCACTGGCATTACAGTCATTTATATTGTTGTGCAACCATCAGCACCAGCCATCTCCAGGACTTTGTTATCTTTCCAAACTAAAACTGTGTACCTATTAAATAATAACTCCTAATTCTGCCCTCCCTCCAGTCTTTTTGTTTTTAAGAGTCTCCACAATTGTATAAGCTTTAAACCCCACAAAACCTGGATCCAGTCCCAACTGACAACCAGATATCCTGATTGTTCCTGAGCAAGCTTTGAAATGATAACTGACACTGCCAAAGTGACTTTAGCCTCAAACCAAAGGACAGTCAACATAGGCGAGGAGACTGTCACTAAAGTGCTCATTGCCAAATGTGCAAAAGGCAACAACTGTGGCAGCATCAACATCACTGAATACACAGGCAGATAAAAGCAATGAGTTTCTCAAATAATCAGAATATATATTTATATAAATTTCCCCAGAAGCCACAAGTGTGTCATTCTTAAGGTCCTTATTTCTTGTAAATTAACCCTATTTTCTTCATTGCTTAGAATTATTGGTAAATAGTAACATCATTTCCTGTAAAATCAGTCCAGAAGAGTAGATAGCAGTTTTATATGGTTGTATCACCTAGTTTTAAGTCTGGCTCAATATAATAGAAAACCTTAATTTATTTCTCTCATGCGTAAAAGAAATCTGGAGGTACACAGTCCAGAACTAGTATGATAGTTTTACGATCATCAAAGAACTGGAGCTCTTTTATCTTACTATGCTAGCATCCTTAGCATGCCACTTCATGGCCCAATAGGACTGCTCATTCTCCAGGCATCAAGTCTATATTCCAGCCAGAAGAAAAAAAACAAGGAGTGGAAAAGCACATGCCCCCTTCCTACAATGATTCCTCACAGAAACTGCACCTAACACTTGAGTTTATTTCTGTTTTGCCAAAACATAGTCATACAGCCTTATCTAGCTGTAAGGTAGACCAGGAAATAAAATCTTTATTCCAGAAACTTGTGTGCAACAAAAAATCAGACATTCTATTACTAAATGAATGAAGAGAATGGATATTGGGATAGGCAGCTAAGCATCTGTCAAATGTTTTTTAAAAAGATTCAATGTGCTGGTTTTTGAGGTTTGGTGAGGGCAGGTAGGAAAGAGTACCCATCTTATAGCACCATTTATGTCATTGCTTACCATTTTGTATAGAGCTAAAAGCTTGCTTTCTCGATTAGTTTCTAGACTGAGTCTAAAGCTTCTTCCACACACCACAGAAGTGGGCTCAACAGGCTTGTATGGAAAAGAGAAAAAGTCATCTTCTCAATTGAAGGGGACTTTTGAATGTCTCAGTGGCCAAATACATCCAAACCATACGTCTGAGCCAGTGAGCTTTACTGTTGTGGGTAAGCTTTAACTGCGAAAATCATTGTTCCAGTTTATTAATTACTGTCGCTTTTGTACTGTGTGTTCCGTTTCCAGGGAAATGTCAACCAGAGGACATGGTCTCTGATTCCGTCCTCAGAGATTCTTACCACAGAGGATACTTTTCCCACATGGTAAACAAAAGAAAATGAGGATGTTGCTTTCCCGTGTTTGAGCAGGGGTGTAATAGAAATGGCCAGATGAGGGAGCTGAGGGAATCAGACATGGGCAGCCTCAGGGCCTGTCAGCCTCACCCTGACTTGATAATGAGATACAAAAATAAACGCCTGTGCTTCTGTGGTGCCTAGATTGGTTGTGAAATTGCTTTTCTAAATCCATTGCATTTAACCTTGATGGTTAATACATTATTTAATAAATTCTGGAGTTCTATCCAAATTACAATATGCTTTCGCACTGAAATGGCCTTAAATAGTGGGCAGCCTGCTTGGTTCTTTGCCTCTAATCTAGCCACCCCAGGACTTGGGCTCTTTCTTCCTCTGGCTCAGGGATGAGGAACATTGTCTTTCTCTGAGCGAGGGGATGGCTTGTGGATCCAGCGGGGCTGCTCATCAGGGTTCTATTCCTCCCAGCTGGAACCCTCACAAAGCCAGCCTCTGATTGAGAACCTAATTACTTCTACTGCTCCTTCAGTTTGACCCTCTGGGGAAATAGGCCTGCAGACGCAATCAGCCATCCACAGCAGAGCACAGAGCCGGCACCTACAGCCCTGAACTCCTTCCAGAAGCGGAAAAGCCTACTGCAGATAAACCAGGGCGTGTGGGGGCCCACATGGTGGAAAGCTCAGGAAGGCTAGGTCTTAAATAGACAACAGCCCTTAAGACTCTTTGGGGTAGGTTGCATTGAGAGTAAGGGAGGGTTGAAAGGCAGGGAGGATATTTTCCTGTTAACAGTGGAAGGAGCTTCCCAACAGCCTGCCTTCCTTGCTTTCTGCGTGTCTCAGCAAGGTTTGAGGGAGCTACATCCTCAGGTCCGAGAAGTGCTGGGGAATGTCAGGGCATAGCCAAGCCAGAAAAGCACTCTGGAGGAAAAGGGAGGTTCCTCTGCATTTCCCTTTCCTGCAGGCCTGCCCTGGTTTTTCATGATGTCATCCATTCATCATTGTGAGCAGATTGGCGGTCCCTGGCCTTGGCCAGCTGCCCAAGGCCAGGAGGGAAGAGAGAGATCCCAGGACAAATGTGCAGTGGGCCCCTGAGCTTGTGCGGAAATGTCATCAGTTCCACAGAGAAAGACTTGGTACAAATTGAAGAAGACAATAAAAGTCACAAGATCCTATCCAACCTTCCCTTCCCTGAACGCCTGGGAAGAACTCAGGGACCTCTTGCCTGTGGATCAGGAGCCATACCCTGGAGTGGGCCTGGGTGTGGAGGAGGGACTGCTCTGCCAGATGGTTCATTCTCCAGAATTCAACCTGTTTCCCGACTCAGTGGTGTTTGAAAGCAACTTTGTCCAGGTACCCTTGGGTGGCCCCGAATGGTGCTCCTTGATTCTTCTAAACCTGTTCCCAAGATGTGACCGGGAGAGTCCGTCCCTGGGACTGGAGTGGAGTAAGAACTGAGGCAAGGAGAAGTCAGTGGGCCTGGAATGCAAGGCCCCCCCCTTGGACCTTGACTTTGCAGAGCCCCAGACAGTTCTCCTGCAGACTTTTGTCCCTCCTGGAAGAGAGGTCGGGTGTTCTCTGCTCTGCATGGAGCATTTGGTATCGGAATCCCTCCATTTACTTCCTCTCCCAGGCTGTCAGGCCAAAGCAGACGAACAAAGAGGCAGTGAAACAAGATGCCCTTTGAGGGTTCGGAACAGAAATGCTCTTTGGTGAAAGAATAGGAGCTGAGCAGCCAGAGAGACCTGGGCTCAGAGTCTAGTGCACTGCTTTCGCGTCAGGTGACCTGCACACCCTGAATCCCAGTTTCCTCTGTTGTGAAAGGGGCTGGACTGGCCTAGGTTGTTATACGCGAACACGGGAGGCGAAGGCCTGGGTACAATGCGCACGCGGTGCATTCTTGTTTCCTTGCCTGGGCTCTCCTCAGGCCAGAGGGGACTCAGGATAAACAGGACTTGGGAGTTAGAAGGGACCTTAGAGTGCAGGGAAGGTACAGGAGAAAACAGGGCCTCTCAAAGAAGGCCCAAAAGACAAGTGTTTCAAAGAAAAGCCAGGAAACAGTCCGGGGAGGATTCACAGAAGTATGACACATGTCAGGGAACTCCTGGGTTATGGTTCTTGTGGGCAATTGCTGGTAGCAGAAAATACAAATACTATTACGCTTGCTTAACCAGTATAGACCGAAACAGGGGTTCTCAACAAGTGGTGATTTGCCCCCACCACCAGGGGGCATCTGGGACTGTCTGGAGACATTTTTGGTTGTCACAACTTGGGGCGGGAGTGAGTATTACTGGCATCTAGTGGGTAGAGGCCCAGGATGCTGCTAAACACCCTACAGTGCACAGGACAGCCCTCTCCCCGAAAACAAAGAGTTATCCAACCCAAAACGTGAATAGTGCCGAGTTTGAGAAACTCTCGGCTAAAACCGCTGCTTCTGTCAAACGCTCAGACGGTGCCTGTGGGGCTGCTTTGCAGGTCAAAAAGGACAGGAACTGGATAGACATGTACAAAGCCTCCAACACCATGGCCCTTGGGGTCACCTCCTCCGTGCCCTGTCTGCCCCTTCCCAACATCCTCCTCATGGCCAGTGTCAAATGGCACCAGGGGCAGAGCCAGACATGGAACAGACCATCTACAGTCCCAAACATCATCCTGAAGAGGTAAGCAACGCAGATGGGAATGAAGGACAAGCAGGGCGAGGCGTGGACCCAGAGCGGAGGCTGCTTTGTAACTAAACTCGGGGTGGGAGAAAGCAGAGAAGTCGTCAGCAGGGACATTAATTGTTTTAGACAGCAGGTGCCCTGGAAGCATCAAGGCCAAGTTGGGCAAAGGTAGGCATAAGGTTGACAGGAAAGAGGAGCCGGGCAACATCCCCGCTTTCCTTCTTGCTGCACTCGCCCCACTGAATCTTAGGAAATCTCTCCGCCTTTGGCCAAGGGGCAAAGAAGCCAGGAGGTCTGGCAGGTGGAGCACTGGTTGGGAGATGCAGGTTCCAGTCAAAAATATAATTTTTGAGTCATGAATTACTTGCTGTGCCTCAGTTTTCCTACTAGTAAAATAAGTGGAACTAAATCTCGCTTAGAACTGTAGCATATAGTGACATCATGCTTGTCTGGGATGAAACAGCCCTTTTTTATATTTCAGTATCTTAAGTAATTTATAGGATATCTCAAGAATCTCTAGATATTCCCAAGAGTCCAGGTAAACTCTTCATTTCTTCACGTTTCCTCAGTGCTAAATCTCTCCATTATGTTCTGAGTATACCTATAGCATGCATAGCTCACCCCACGCTGACCGATATTAGATCCAAAGCCAGCTCCTTGAACCTTAGTTCCCTTGGGAAGAGTAACTGAGGCATTAAGGTCAATGAATGGACAAGCTGGACCGTGGGGCCAACTCCGTGGCAGAGGAGGGCAGCTCACTTTGTGCTATCAAGAAGGAAATTGAAAAACCCTATAATTCCAGCTACCTTCCTTGTAGGCTGTCTCTCTCAAGCAGGATTCAGGGAACACCAGCATGAGAATCATGGCAGGCAGGGTGGAGGTTAAAATGGAGATCCCAGGGCCACAGGCCAGACCTACTGAATCCGAATCTTTGGGATTGTTTTCAGAAGTCAACCTCTTAAACAAACTCCCCAGGTGCATCTGGTCTCCTCAAAGTTTGAGCAACACTGTGCTAAGCACTCTCTCTCCTACCCCAAAAAGGCTCAGTCCTGAAGGAGACACTCCTCATTTTAATGAAGATAGTGTCGGATCAGAAGCACTGGGGTTGCTAATGTGTGTCTTCCCTTGTGCCTTCAGGATTCTCCCGTTGAAGTTTGTGGAGCTCCAGATCTGCGACCGCCCTCAGCGCATCCTGCAGTTGAGGACAGTTGCCGAGAAGATCTACTACCTAAGGCTCCACCCTGATCATCCCAGGACTGTCTTCCACTTCTGGATCCGACTGGTTCAAATTCTGCAGACGGGCCTGTCCATCACCACCAAAGACCCTAGGATTCTTGTCTCTCACTGCCTGGTACCCAAGAACAGCTGCAGCCCCTCAGGAGACTCTAAGGTAAGTGGGCACCATTGCTGCTTCCAGCCAAGGCCAGAGCTGAGCTGTAGAGCTTAGGCGAGCTGGTATGTGAGCACCCCGTGAAGGCAATTCCTGCCTTAGGCCTTTTCTAATCAGTTTTATTGAGGTGTAAGGTTCAAGCATAAAATTCACCCATTGTAAGTGTACAGTTCAACACTGCCAGTAAATGTAGAGAGTTGTGCAACCATCACCACCATCCAGTTTTAGAACATTTCCATCACCCTAAAAACTTCCTTCATGCCCATTTGCAGTCATTCCCTGTTCCTACTTCCTTCCCTAGGCAACCATTGATCTGTTTGCAGTCTCTATTCATATTTCTGAGACATTTCATATAAATGGAACCCTACAATATATAGTCTTTTGTGTCTAGCTTCTTTCACGTAGCATAATGTTTTTCAGGTTCATCCATATCATAGCATGGGGCCACTCTATGGCAGAGTCACAGATTATCAATAATTCATTCCTTTTAATTGTTGATTAGTATTTCATTGTATAAATATACCACATTTTGTTTATTCATTCACCAGTTGATCGATATTTGGATTGTTTCCAATTTTTGGCTATTATGAGTAATGCTGCTATGAACATTTGTGTACAAGTTTTTGTATAGACACGTGTTTTCCTTTGTCTTGGGTAGATTCCAAGAAATGAAATCACTGGGTCATCTGGTAAGTTTATGTTTAAACTGGCAAATAGTTTTCCAAAGTGGCTGCACTATTTACATTCCCACCAGTAATGCACACGGGCTTCAGTTTCTCCACATCCTCACCAACACTGGTACTGTCTTTTTTATTAAAGGCATTCTAGTGGATGTGTAGTGTTTTTAATTTGGATTTCTTGAATGACTAATGATGTTGAGCAACTTTTCATGGGCTTATTAGTCATGTATCTATCTTCTTTGGTGAAACATCTATTGAAATCTTTTGCCTATTTTAAAATTGAGTTTTGTCTTCTTATTGAATTGTAAGAGTTCTTTGTGTATTCTGGATACAAGTCCTTTATCAGATATATGATTTGCAAATGTTTTCTCTCAGTCTATGAATTTTTTCATTTTCTTAATAGTGTCCTTTGAGGAGCAAAATTTTGAATTTTGATGAAGTACAATTTATCAATTTTTTCTTCTATGGATCAGGCTTTTGGTGTTATATCTAAGAACTCTTTGTTCAACCCAAAGTCACAAAGATTTTATCCTAATAAAATCCTAATGTCCTAAATTTATAGATTTAGCTCTGACGTCTAGGTATATGATCCATTTTGAGTTAATATTTGTGTATGATGTGAGATAAGGGTCTAACGACCTTTTTTTTTTTGGCATGTGGATATACAATTGTCCTAGCACTATTTTTTGAAAAGACTATCCTTTCCCCATTGAATTGTCTTGGCACCTTTGCCCAAAATCAATTGACCATAAATGTAAAGATTTATTTCTGGACTCTCAATTCGGTTCCATTGATCTGTATGCCTATTCTTGTGCCAATACCACAATGTCTTGATTAATGTAGCTTTATAGTAAGTTTTGAAATTAAGTGATGTAAGTCTTCCAATTTTGTTTTCGGTTTTTTCAAATTGATTTGGCTATTCTAGATCCTTTGCATTTCCACATAATGTTAATTTCTACAAAAAAGCTTGCTGGAATTTTGATAAGGACATGTTGAATTTATACATCAAGTTGGCAAGAATGGCCATCTTGACAATATCAAGTCTTCCAATACATGTATATGGAATGTCTTTCCATTTATTTTGATCTTCTTTAATTTCTCTCAGCGATGTTTTGTAGCTTTCAGTACACAAGTTCTGCACTTCTTTTGTTAAATTTATTCCTATTTGATTCTTGTTGATAGTATGGTGACTGGAATCGTGTTTTCTTTCTTTTTTTTTTTTTTAAAGATTCTATTTTTCCTTTTTCTCCCCAAAGCCCCCTGGTACATAGTTGTATACTTTTAGTTGTGGGTCCTTCTAGTTGTGGTATGTGGGACGCCGCCTCAGCATGGCTTGATGAGTGGTGCTGTGTCTGCACCCAGGATTCAAACCAGCAAAACCCTGGGCTGCCGAAGCGGAGCGCGTGGACTTAACCACTCAGCCACGGGGCCAGCCCCAGGAATTGTGTTTTCTTAATTTAATTTTTGCATCACTCATTGAAAGTATAGAGAAATAAAATTGATTTTTGTGTATTAATCTTGTTCATTAGTTGTGGTAGTTTTTGTAGATTCCTTGGGATTCTCTACTTACATAGATACATGTTATCTGTAAATAAAGACAGTTTACTTCATTTGAAATCTGGATCCATTTGTTTATTGCCTTATTGCATTAGCTGGAATCTTCAGTACAATGTTTAATATAAGTAGCAAAAGCAGACATCCTTGCCTTGTTCTCTATCTTAGGGGAAAACATTGTCTTTCACTAAGTATAACGCTCACTGTGGATTGTTGCAGATGCCCTTTATCAGGCTGAGGAAGTTCTCTTCTATTCTTTGTTTATTGAGAGTTTTTATCATGAATGGATATTGAATTTGTCAAATGCTTTTTCCGCATCTATTGAGATGATCATGTGGTTTGCCCTTTATTCTATTAATATAGGACACTGCGTTAATTGATCTTTAGATGTTAAACCAACCATGTGTTCCTGCAACAAATTCCACTTGGTCCTGGTGTGCATAATCGTTTTTCAATGTTCCTGGATTCAGTTTGCTAGCATTTTGTTAAGGATTTTTGCATCTATATTCGTGCAAGATATTGGTCTGTAGTCTTCTTGTGATATCCTGGCTTTGGTATCAGGATAATAATAGCCTTATGGAATAATGTGGGAAGTATTCCTTCCTCCTCTATTTTCTGAGTCTGTGAAGAATTGGTATTACTACTTCTCTAGATATTTCATAGAATTCATCAGTGAAGCCACCTGGGCCTTTTTGCACCAGGCCTTAGTGTGTGATGAATACAAGCCTGACAACATAAACTTCATGAAGGCAAGGATTTTTATCTATCTTTTCACTGCTATTCCCAGTGCCTGGAACATAGTTGACATTCAATAAATATTGAATGAATGGATGGATGGATGGATGGATGGATGAATATGAGCAGCATGCCCAACTGGAGCACTTCAGGGTATCCCAGGCAACGGGAAAGAAAGCAGTTTTACCAGGCAGGAAAAGCAGCTCAGTATAGGATTTTTCTTATAGGAATTAATTTTTAAAATATTCATTAAATTCCTACAATAAATATTTGATCCCCCTACATTTAAATATAAAACCAAGTAACATAAGCTTTATTAAAGTTTACATTAATGGGATATTCAATAACATATTAAGGTATGTTAATAAGAATAGTTTATCTACTAAATTATACTTAAAGTATTCAACGATGATATTATCCTTAGGCACCAAAGGATATTTATAGCGATACAGGGAATATCAACAAACAGATACACCTCAGAATGGCCTCTCTGAGCAGCTGGCATGGCTGCCCAATGGAACAGTTTGAGTTCCAACATTTTAGGGTCTGGACCATGATATTAGGAAAATGCAGAGACCCTAAAGCCTTAACCACCTGGTTTTGCTTTTTTTCTCCATCCAGTTAGTACAGAAGAAACTCCAAGCCCCCCAGCCCAGTGACAGCCTCATGCAGCTGATGGCCAAGGGAGAGAGTGAGGCCCTCTCTCAGATTTTTGCCGACTTGCACCAGCACAACCAGTTCAGGTACAAGACTTAAATCAGGCCAGCCTGACATGTCTTTCTACAGCCCTGATAGTCTGGGCCGTGAGATCCAGAAACCAAGTGACTTGGTCACTGAACACAGGGAGGGGCATGAAACACTGCCACTCAGTATCCAGTCTTTATCTTTGACTCAGACAACCTTTTCTCAGTTCTCTGTGCCTTATTTTCCTTCTCTACACAGCAAGCATGGTAGGCTTGACTCCAGAGGAGGAATTTTATAAAAAATGAAATAGTAAGTTGGTAACACAGGTGGAAGAGTAAAACTTAATTCCTAATCCAGTTCCTAACCCTACAAAGAAATAACCAAAACGTTGTTTAAAACAGCGTCTACCCATTGGGTTCCTTTACCTACTTACCTGGCCTCTGCTTAGACTTTATGGAGCTTCTGTGGTCATTTTCTTAAAAAGCTCCATTGTGCAGGCCCAGCTTCTCCATGCCTGAGGAAGTGTCCCCGTATGTACGGATGACTTAGGGTTGAGTCTTAAGACTGGTGGTATGACATAGGAGCTGAGAGCACTTAGACCATGGGGCACCACGCACAGAGAGCAAGGATAAAGTGGGAACCAGGGTCCTCATGAACCTGATTTGTAGAGTAAGAAAAGGGAGAACAGAAATAAATTAGTAAATGTCACCAGAAGAGAAAAAGGAGGTGTCAGAGAGAAGGCGATTTTTGTTACTCAGACAGAACAAAAAAAAGAAAGGTTTCTTTCTGAGTGCTGGTGAAAAACTGAAAACCAGTAGAGCTCAGAGGAAGCAATCTCTCGTAGTAGAGAGATTGCACTGCTGCAACCGTGAGCTCTTGGGCACATTGCTCTTCTGGGCCTCAGTTTTCAGATCTGTAAAATGGAAATTGTGATAGTGCCAAGCTCACGCAGACATTCTCAGGATCAAATGAGCGCATACGCGTTAAGTGCTTGACGTGCTCCTCAGCAGACGTAGAAGCAGATGTAAGTAAACTCTCAATAAATATTACCTTGTATTATTAACGCTAACTTGGGCTGGAAATAGACAAGTATTAACACAAGAAAAAGACTTGTCAGTTGCCTACTATTAAAGAATTTATACTAGGGTCATCAATCTGTATATCATAAAGAAATCCGCAATTAAGAAATTTCTGGGTTAGATGTCACGTTGCTGAGTTAGACAGTGCTGGACTCTAATATAGCAAGATATATTGAAGCAACTTTTTAACTGTCTCAAAATGTTAAATCACAGGTGTTTTTATTACTGTTTGAAGGCCAGCTTCTGTTTATATTCACTGGCCACAATTCAGTCACCTGGCCACACTCAGCTGCAAAGGAGGATGGGGAATGCATTCTCTAGTCTACATAGCCATGTGCCAACACAGAGTCAGATGCTCTGCCCCCAAGAGAGAAGGGAGAAAGGGATACTGGGGGCCTATTGGCAATCTCTGGCACAGACAGCTTTTAATATTTCCACAAGGTCAGAGGAGACTATGACTTGAAGGAGAAGCCAGATAAAGGGTAGAAAAAGCTGTGCAGGCTAAGGGAACACATAAGACTGAAGCTTCATCCTGAGGAAGAAGCTTGGTGCATTTAGAGACAGGGAAGGAAGGCCAATGGGGAAGTGGGGTGGAGGTGGAAGGACATAAGTAGAAGTGGGGAGGTGCCGAGCCAGGCAGGGCCTGGGAAGCCACGTGAATGAATTTAGACTTCAAATGTAATGGGATCCTTAGCAGCATTTTAAACAGGGAAGTGATCCAATTTACATTTTGAAAAGGTCATGTTGGCTGTTGCAGTGACAGTCTATTTGAAGAGAGGGAGAGTAGGTGTGGAGAGACCAGCCAGGAAGCTATGGCAGCCTAGTCTGGGCTGTCACGTACAAAACGGATCAGAGAGATGCAAGAAATAGGGGAAAATGAATTTTTGCTTCACTGTTACCTCAATAATTGCTTAGTGCAGACATTTAGTTTATTCTCTTTAATTTCCCAGAACAAAGCCCTGAGTGAGGATTTTTCTCCTCATTCAGGTAGGTTCTAGTCTGGTTTCAATTATACCAGGTTTTGCACATTGGCAACAACATGCAACTTACAGCAAATAAAACAAATGGCTGAGACACAGGACTGAACAGATGGAGTCGCATCCACTCCTCCTCAGCAAAATCAGCAGTGTGGGTTCCGCTCCCCACCGCCCCACCACATCCCACCTCCCCCTTCCTTATTTTGTCTTCTGCCACTTTAATATGCATCACACCCACTCAGTATAGCCACAGCTGGCCTTTTTCATATTTATATCTACCCCTAAAGCTTTCACATCAAGAAAAGTATAACTAGAAACAAGACTTGAAATGAGAATTTCATGTTCTATTCTTTTCCTTTTGATCCTCATTTCCTTGATCCTGAAATGGCTGGAGTTCCAGGAGCAGCAAAAAGACGGACACCAAAAAGGATAGCTCAGGTAACGGAGGGCACAGGGCACCCACGTCTCGGAGAACTTTCTGCTCTGCAGTTGTAGGAATAAGATCCCCTCCAGGTCCACACCCAACTTTCCTGGTGCTGTCAGGATCACCATCATCCTTCTGTACCTTAGTTTGAGTTCCTCTAGGCCCTTTGGCCACGTAGTCAATTTTGCACGAAATCCTACCGATTTCTTTCTTTGAAATGTTTCTTATATTCTCTGCTTCATTTCTACTCCCACAGATGCTACCCTAGTCCACCTTATCACCTCATGCCTGGTCTACTGCAGTAATCTTCTGCTAGTTCATTCATTCATTTATTCATTCAAAACCATGCATCGAGCACTTGGTAAGTGCCAGACACTGTTGAAGGCTTTGGAGTTCCAGTGAAGAAAGACACAGTACCTCCTTCAAGGGGTTTATCTTTTGGTGGAGTCAAATGGGTAAACTCCAAAATTACAAAACCTCTCTTTCCAGGCAACATTCAAAGCTCATGCCTGGGGTGCCACAGGAGCATAAAGACGGGGTCCCTGGCTCCACCAGGGAAGCTGTCCTGGAAGGCCCGGGACATAGCTGAGCTGAGTCTTAGAGGACAGTACAGTGGTATGGGCGAAGTGGATGAGGCAGGGCATTCTAGGAGGAGAATCTCTGGGAGAGAGCATGACACATTCTGGAAATAGCAGCCACTCCCTATTTATTTCCAGGTTCTGGTTTACCCCAAATCCACTTATTTTGGCATGCATGATCCTGCATAAACTTCTTCCATCTTACCCATCTCACCTAATCACCCACTCCTCCTCAAATAGGAGCTTTCTGCCTCATCTTCTTCTCCAGTCCAAATCTTCTCCTCTAGCCTAACGTTAGCTATGGGGGACATGCCTCATTCATCCCCATCTGCTCCCTTCTGACAATGCTCGACGCCAAGTCCTATCATTCCAGATACACCTCACAACACCTTCCTGCCCAGACGAACCTTTCCTTAGTTATAACCTCTCTTATATTATTCCTGAGTTATTTTGTAGGTTTCAGTCTTGTTTCCTCAACCAATGCTAAATTTTTTTCATTCCTCTGAATTATCGACAGCAGCAGGGCTGGGAACACAACAAGAGCTCAATTAATATCTGTGCACCACACCACTAATAAATTATTCCTCCAAATTGGCTCAGGAGGCAGCCAGAATATCATGTTATATTTAGAAATTTAGAGAAATCTGTAGATCCCAGGGGACCTCTGCCAACTTTCATCTATTCCAGGGATTATAAACTCAAGCGTCTGCAGGTAGAGTAAATGGGTAAAGAGTCTAGGTGACATGGATATAAGAAGTGGTTAACTTTTCTCTCAGTTCTATTATAAGCAAAAGGATAGCTTGGCTGACACTTGGTTTCAACATTGAGGAGACAATAGGGAGTGGTGGGGACAGTGGCAACTAGAAATGAAGGTTTCAATTAAGGCTTCAATTAATTTTTGCCATCCTAGAACACAGGTCTGGTTTTGCCAGATACTCTGATTTTTCAAGAGAAGCCAAAAATCTGGGCTTTTATGTGACATATTCCCCACCCCATAAAAAATTAAAGCACAGGGGCCGGTCTGGTGGTGCAGCAATTAAGTGCGCACAGTCCGCTTCTTGGTGGCCCTGGGTTCACCGGTTCAGATCCCAGGTGCAGACATGGCACCGCTTGGCACGCCATGCTGTGGTAGGCGTCCCACGTATAAAGTAGAGGAAGGTGGGCACGGATGTTAGCTCAGGGCCGCCTTCCTCAGCAAAAAGAGGAGGACTGGCAGTAGTTAGCTCAGGGTTACTCTTCCCCCCCTCAAAAAATTTAAAGCACAATATAGGCCAATACTTGGTGGGCAAACTAAACATAACTGCAGACCAAATTAAGCCAGGAAGCTGCCAGTTCACAGCCCCTGCTCTAAATGGTGAGGAGAGCTGACGCTGGCTCAGATCTTCTCCAAATCTATGAATGCTGTCTCATGTTATATGACCCATAATACAATGGTGATTCGTTTCTGGTTTTGCACATACATTCAAATACACACACACATAAACACACAAACACATAGACCATACCCTATGAGGTTAGAGTTGAGGAAAACAGAAAGAAAGAATATGTCAAACTTATTTCTGGGACTTGAGAGAACAGCTTGAGGATATCTGATGTCGTGGAAACTACCGCTCCCAAGACGTCCCTAGACTGATTTCAGTTGATCATCCTGGGATGTCCTCAGGACACTTCTCTTTCCTCAGAGCTGAGGAAAGCTCTCTTTTCTCTCTGGGCTCAGTAGTCTGCTCTTAGTTTGGAGGGACAGTCACACCCCAGCCTCTTGGAACTTTTGAATGAAAATTGAGAGAGAGAGAGAGCTACATTTGGAAAATCCAGCATCTCAAATCTTACCTGTGTGGCTGAACCCTTTCAACTCCCCATTGATGAGTGGTGTGGCCTATTGCCATGCTTCCCAAACTTTAACGTGCAGACAGTCCCCTGGGAATCTTGTTAAAATGCAGATTCTGATCCAGTGGGTCTGGGTGGACCTGAAACTGCATTTCTGACATGCTCCCAGGTGATGTCAAAGCTGCTGGGCTGTGAGCCACCCTTCGAGTAGCTGAAGCCAAGTGAACCAAGAACAGGCTCTGACTTAAGGCCATCTGGGTTCAAGGCCATTGCCAGTTCAGTTAACTGAATCTCCTGGGGAAATTCACTCAGTTAACCTCTCCAAGCCATGTAGGTTCTCTCCTTTTGCTGGCACAGCTTTGTTCACATGATGTAGTGGTAAAAACTTGGGCTCTGGAGCTGGGCTGCCTGACTTTGAATCCTGGCTCTGCCTCCTCATTATATGACTGTGGGCAGGTTACTTAACCTCCAAAAGAGGGAGAATTCTGGCAGCTGACTGGCTGCTAGGCCTCAGATTCCTCATCCGTAAAATAGGGACTATGGCAGTGCTGACCTCTCTGGGTTGTTGTGAAGATTAAAAGAGCATTAATGCATGTAATTGTTTGGAACAGTGCCTGGCCCATACTAAGCACCCCTCAAATGTTGGCCATAATCTGTGAGCATGCTCTGTGAATTAAAGTACAAACAAATTCGTTCCCTTTCTGACATAGAGAAAGATACTCCCAGTGAAGACTGCATCCCCTGCACCCGCGACCTCAGTTGGAGGGATTCGCTCACCTGTGGAGAGTGGGAACGAGAGAACCCCTCTGGACCACAGCCCCTCTCACTCCTCAGCACTCTGGCAGCCTGCACGAGGCCACAGCTGACCCTGCTCATAGGTACAGTCATGGGATTAATCTGGCTGCCTTCATGGGACAGGTCTGGAATTCTCACCGAGGTTCAGGTCCTAGGGTCCGGGGGTGATTCCAGGAGGCTGTGGGGTGGGAGTGGGGGTGCCAGCCACAGCCACCTCAGCCCTCTTTTTTCTTGCTCTGTTCTTCTCTACCTCCAACTGGGCTGAGTGAAACCCTAAGTGTGGCACCTCCAGAGCCCGCAGAGGCCCCTGGGAGTTCCTGCAAGTGGCTCTGAATGGATAGAGACCAGGATGACACTGTTGTCACTAGAGCTGCTTTCTCCCTGCTGGGTGGGAGGCGTGAGGCGCTGAGTTCCCGTGGGCTCCTCCTTTGAAGAGGTAGGGAGTTGGCTCTCCCTTTTCCTTTACAGAGTTCTGGGGGAGCCCCAACCTTCTGCTGCAGATAGTAAGAGGGAGCTAGGCTGGGAGGGGTGGGGTGGGAGTCGGACTTCTCTGGGTCCTAGCCCTTATCTCTCCATGCTCCACGGCTCATCCACCCATCCATGTATTCATTTAGCAAACATTCATTAAGTACTTCCTATGTGCCTCTGTCTGATCAGAGATAGATTCCTAAAGAAGGTAGGAGTGGTTTATATTTTCTAAAGTAAAATATTATCAATAAGCCACGAACTCTTAAAAAAATCTGTTATTAATAGTTGACAATTTAAAAATAATTTAAGTATGTAGGTATGCACAAAAGAGCTTTTTAGGCAAGCTATATCCTATTGAGCATTTTTCTCTCCTGTACTAACAGGAAATTCTATTTGAACCACCCTTTCACACTTGGGAGAATCTATGCAGCCCTCGCCAACGCCACTGTGCAGCATTCATCTTTCCGAGGGGTCTCTCTGGATGGAGGGGAGGAGAAAGCTGCAACTACAGGAAAACTAGAATCCTCTCACATCTATAGCATAGCCTTTCCTTGGAGAACCATTTGGGAGGATGGATCCAAGATGAGAAGCATTATTCTAGCATTATTCCAATCCGTAACTTCACATCCTCACCACCACAAACATCACCACGCCTTGTCTCCATTCCACCGCCAGGCAGACACAAGAAGACATGCTCTCAGGATGGCCAGGACCAAGAGATGGAGAGAAGGGAGGAGAAGGAAGCAGGGCCAGAGAGAACTAAAAAAGAACAAAATGGAGGTGAAGAGGAAGGTGGACGGAGGAAGTCAGAGATGAGGGGAGATACAGAGAGGTGGTAACGGAAGGAAACAAAAGAGACTTGGGAGAGAAGCTGAAGAGGACAAGAGAAGAAATACACCACTGAGAGATGCCTCATGGAGCTTCTATTTATCTAGTTTAAAACTTGAAAGTAATGCCATATTCCAAAAAAGAAATACGTTTTCTTCTGTGCTCAGACTGCTCTGGACAAGTATGAGGAATCAGAAATGAATTCCAGCCAAGGGCTTCTCCTTAAATTTCCCTTTCTGCTGGTTTTTCTTGTGAGTCCCTCTTTTCTGATTCAAGCTTTGGCCTTCTTCCTTAGCCCATTCCCTAACTTAGACTTGCTAGCCTGGCCCTGGTGTTCCAAATGGAGGTTTGGGGTTGAGGCTGCAGAAAGGCTCCTGCAGGAGGTAGTAAGACAAGGTGTGTGAGGTAGGGAAAATTCTCTTTTGTGTTCACACTTTCTAAGTTTGCTCATGTCTGAGTCCTACAAACACTGGCTTAATTTCTTTTGCATATGGCACCCCATTGAAATGTCGACACACCTTGTTATAGTGTTTATTAAATTAGCAATTCCAAAAAGGAGATACAGGCTCGAAGCATAGGTGAATCAGAGATTTCAGGCTCAAAGTATAGATAAAATGAGAGGTTCACAAATCATCGATCAAGAGAGTCTCTCTCAGATGGCCCATGGACTGGCCTCTGTTTAAAATGCACAATATTTCACATTCAATAAACCAGACTATGAGTACTTCAGAAAACCTGTCCAACCTTCCAAGTGGAAAGGTTTTTTAGACGTCCTGCTTTGATTTAAGATATCCTGGGCTGGCCTGGTGGCGCAGCAGTTAAGTTCGCACGTTCTGCTTTGGCAGCCTGGGGTTCGCCGGTTCGGATCCCGGGTGTGGGACATGGCACCGCTTGGCAAGCCATGCTGTGGCAGGCGTCCCATGTATAAAGTGGAGGAAGATAGACACAGATGTTAGCTCAGGACCAGTCTTCCTCAGCAAAAAGAGGAAGATTGGCAGTAGTTAGCTCAGGGCTAATCTTCCTAAAAAAAAAAAAAAGATATCCTAGGAGGGTCTTTTTCTTCGTTGAAGTGGTTTTCAGACTGAAACGATTGGAGGGCTACAAAGTGAGCTCCTAGATCCTCATCACTCTTTCCAAGGATGACTTATGTCCTAATTCTTGGTGATTTCAATAGCTACATCGATGAATCTTCCCATAGTCTGGTCACCGTTCCTTGAACAGCGATCCTGTCCTCCACCCTCCTCAGCCACTGACTAGCCTGATTTTACCTGAGAGTTTCTCATCAATAACTGCACACCACCCCTTTATCCACTCTCCAGCTATCCCACCTCCTATCTTTCCCGCCAAGTCCAATAATCCTCTGACCCTCCCAATCCTACAATCTGTTGCTGCTCCTGGGTTTTCACTGTCGTTCACTCTCCTCTCATCCTCGCTCCCCTGCTCCCCCCCCAAGATTACGTGATGAATCATTATTATTATCACTCTCTTACATGCACCTCAACACCTGTGTGTCTCTTCCTCTTTATTCACTTGGCTAAGTCTAGCTCTCCACCAACTCCATGCCTGCACCATTGCCTAAAGAAAATCACATGGTGTACTAACCAGTCTCACCTCGAAGTCGTAGTCATAAGCCTCACGAGGGTCCTTAATATTGCCTGGAGATCACACTGTATTCCCCTCATCTGCTCTCTGCTGAATGGCTATTTCACACCTTCTCTCTCCTCAAACCCCCAATGCCTCCTGATGACCCAGCTTCCCATTTCACTGAGAACATAGTAGCAATCGAAATAGAACGCCAAGCTCTCACCACCATGTCTACCACTTACCTAGAACCAGACCCATAGACCTAGTTTCTCTCCTTTTTACTATGGAAGAACTGTCTCCACTCTAAGCAAAGTTCAGCTCTCCTCCTTTGATACTGGATTTCATCCCATCTCACCTACTCAAGGACATTGCTTCAGCACCATTCCCTTCTTTTTCCTACATCATCAATTTGACCCTCACCCCTAGATCCTGCCCACCAGTAATAAACAAGCTGGTATTTCTTCTAAACATACTATTATTTCTTCCACTTAAAAATAGAACAAAATGAAACCTCTCTTGGCCCCTCTGGCCCCTCTGTTACATTTTTTCTCTACCCCTTTAAACTCCTTGAAAGGATTTCCAATTTCTTTTTTTCTTTATTATTTTTGATGAAGATTAGCCCCGAGCTAACATCTGCTTGCCAATCCTCCTCCTTTTGCTGAAGAAGACTAGCCCTGAGCTAACATCCGTGCCTACCTTCTTCTACTTTGTATGTGGGATGCCTGCCACAGCATGGCTTGACAAGTGATGCCATGTCCACACCTGGGATCCAAACCAGCGAACCCTGGGCTGCTGAAGCAGAATGTGCAAACTAAGCCGCTGTGCCACCAGGCCGGCCCCAAAGGTTTCCAATTTCTTGCTTCCCATTCTCTCTCAAACCCCTCCAGTAGGTTTTCGTACCCGCTACCCCACCAAACGTGATCCCCACATTGCTAAAACCAATCTCACCGATGGCAGCATGTGACATACATGATTACTTCTTTCCTTGTGAAACACTTTCTTCACTTGGCTTCTAGAACACTACACTCTCTTGGTTTTCCTCCTCCTTCACTAGCTTTTCTTCTCATTTCCTTTGCTGATTCATTCTCATCAATACCACTCTACCATCTTTGAACACTAGAAATTTCCAGGACTCAGTCCTTGGGTCTCTTCTAATCAAAACCCATGGCTTTCATATCACATATATACCAATTACTCCCAGATTTATATCTCTAGTCCAGACCACTGCAAACTGCACAGATACATATCCAACTGCCTACTTAGCGTCTCCATTTGAATGTCTAAGAGGCATCTCAACATGTCCAAAACCAATATCTCAATATTATCTTCCAAAATTTGCTCCCCCCAAAGTCTTCTCCATCCTAATAAATGGCAGCTCCAATCTTCTAGTTGCTCAAAAGCTTGGAGTCACCCTTGACTCCTCTTGTTCTCTCCACTCCGTTACGAACACATCAGGAAATCCTTGTTTTTTGGGGTTTTTTGAGGAAGATTAAGCCCTGAGCTAACTGCTGCCAATCCTCCTCTTTTTTACTGAGGAAGCCTGGCCCTGAGCTAACATCGGTGCCCATCTTCCTCTACTTTATATGTGGGATGCCTACCACAGCATGGTGTGCCAAGCAGTGCCATGTCCACACCTGGGATCCGAACCGGCAAACGCCAGGCTGCCGAGAAGCAGAACATGCGAACTTAACCGCTGCACCACCAGGCCAGCCCTAGGCAATCCTTTTAAACTACTTTCAAACTATATTCAGAATCTGACACTTCTCACTATTTCCACTGCTACCACCCTGGACCAAGCCATCATCATCATCACCTGGATTGTTGCAAAAGCCTCCTAAGTGGGTTCCCTGTTTCTAACCTCGCCCTCTTCAGTCTAATATGACCTTTTAAAGGCTTAGCTCATGTCACTTCTCTGCTCAAAATCTTCCAATGGCTTCCCGTCTGTATAAGGGTAATGCTGGCTCTGTAAGAGATAAACCCAGTATATCAAAGGCATAAAATAACTAATAGAAATTTATTTCTCACAGAAAGTCCAAAAAGGGTGTGCCTGTTCAGTGAATGGCTCTTTAACAGGAAACTGGGCTCCTTGCATGTTGTGACTCTGCCATCTGCACTACATGGTTTCTAGGGTTGCCACAGACAGAGAAAGAGCTTGGAGAATCACACATGACAGGTTTGTATGGCCAGTGCTGGAAGTAGTGGACATGATTTCTGCCCCTCTTCTTTTGGCCAGAGCTCAATCACATGTCCACACTGCAAGGGAAGCTGGGAAAGGTAGTCTAGCTGCATTCACAGGATGAAGAAGAAACGGTTTGGTAAATAGTTAGCCAGTCTCTTCCACAACATCTCACTCATGGTAAAAGCTAAAGTCCTTACAGTGGCCTAAAAGTCCTATATGGTGTCCCTCTCCCCTTTGCTCCCATCCCCACTACTACCTCTCTGACCTCATGTCCTCTCCTACTCAATTACTGCACTCCAGCCACACTGGCATCCTGCTGCTCTTCGAACACTCCAAGCATACTTCAGCTCAGGGCCATTGTCCTTGCCATTCCGTTAGAATGTTCTTCACCACCTTTAGATGTTCACAAACCTCTCGCCTCCTTCATGAACTTTCCCTGGCCACCTTTCTAAGATTGCAACACCACTCCTGATAGTCCCCATGCTCCATCTCCTTTCTGGCCTTATTTGATTTCTTAGTACTTATTACCACCTCTCATTCTATATATTTTGCTTTTTTATCTTGGCTATCTACTGGAATATAAGCACCATGAGAGAGTGTAGTCCATTTTGTTCACTACTGTATCTCTAGTGCCTAGAACAGTATCTGGCACACAGAAAACAATATATTTGTAGACTGAATGTTGAGTAGCACCATATGAGCAGTGTTGAGATGCTTGAAAGACATCAGCCTTTTGAGGGTGGCATCATAATAGCTGCCCTAAATAGTCCTTCAGTGCTTCTCTCAGAGACAGAATCCAGGGGTAGGTGGGCCTTGAGTGCAATTGAGGTGACATTTCTTATGTGTGTCGTCCCCAAGTCCTTTCCTCCTCCACCTGCCTTCTAACTCTGGAGCTCCCAGGAAATCTAATCTGCTTTTCTCTCAGAAAGCTCATTTGTTCTCATGGCTCCATCAGCTGCCTCCTGGCCAATGACCCTTCTAAGTGTCTCCTCCAGCCTATTGGCTATTTCTTTTTAGATGTTCTCCCATTACCTTAGACTTACTATATTTTGAACTTAACTCATCATTTCCCTTGTCTTCCACTCTTCTAGTTCATTCTCCCAGTTTCCTATGATTAAAACTTTACATTTTTGAGTGGTCCTCCTTCATTTCTTTCATCCCAACTTCATATGAGATTGTTTGTGCTACTGTTCATAGAGGTCTGATTAATGCATATTTTGAATTTGAGGCTCAGCCACTAAATCTAGGACTTGTTATTTCCACTTTTAAAAATCTCTTGGGGCCAGCCCTGATGGCATAGTGGTTAAGTTCAGCATGCTCTGCATCAGCGGCCCAGGTTTGGTTCCCAGGCATGGACCTACACCACTCATCTGTCAGTGGCAGCTCACATACAAAATAGAAGAAGATTGGCAACAGAGGGTGGATATTCCTCAGCACAAAAACTAAAGACCAAAAAAACACTTGTATATAAGCATTCATTA